TTCTGCTTATCTGTTTTTCTTATATATATATATATACAATTAAACTTTTCTTATAATTTATAGCTGTTAACTGAACACAGCAGGATAGTATAATCGATGTTAATAGCGGATAGGTTATTCTTACGGATAGGTTATTCTTACAGCAGATAGGCAGCGGATAAGGCAGCGGATAGGTTATTCTTACAGTTAGAATACAGTTATTGCTATCAGCAACAGTCACACTGTAAAAAGTTTCAAACCAAATTACGGAAAAAAGTACCGGCACTTAAAGTGCCATTACTTTATAAAATTTTAAGGAACAAAAAATATGATATAGCGGAATTTTTTCACCAATAATTATGTAAAATCTCTGAATCATTGTAGTTAAATAAATATCACTACAAAAATTACGATATGAAATTTGCGGTAAAAGGCGATTTTACGGATGTCACGTTGTCAGTACATCATGTAGTAATTTAATCCGGAATTTATTTCAGCGTAGAGTTATGACAAATAAGTGTTCTAAATTTCAAGGCCAGGTTAATACCTTTACCTAAGGTTAATACTTAACTGGAAAAAAAGACAATAAAAAATTTGATATGAGATGCAATGTGTTATTCCGTTAAAACTTGGTGATAAATACAGCCTGCTGAAATTAATACTTTTCGAAACCAAACGAAATATTCATGTATATATCCAATAAATATGAGCTGTATCTATCAAATGTACCTTGAGAGCAACGTACAGTGCGCAAAATAAGAAACGAACCATCTGAAGTAAATTTTGATCTAATGATCTTTAACTTTTGAGAGGGTGGCTTCAAATATGTTATTTATTTATGCAAACAACATTTTAAGTTACAAAATCAGACACAAAGACGTACTCCCCTTGAATAAACATAACTTTTGTTCGATGAAATCAAATTTCTAACCCCCTATATGTAAGGAGAAGCCGCAATCTGGGATACATGGTCCCCATACTATGGTCAGGAGCGCAGTTCAGAGTTAGGTTCCCTTAATATTTATTTTATTTTTTACGTATTTCGCCATATCTTGTGAACTTTTTAAGTAAATGGAAGCATTTTCGCACACACTGTTAAAAGTTTCCTTCTAAAATTACGGTAAAATAACTGGCAGCTGTCTGTCCATCTGATTAACCGTAAAGTTTACGGTAAACTATACGGTCAAAACTATACGGTTTTTCAACCATTTATAACTAGCACTTTTCAAAAACGTAAAAAAAAAAGTTAATTATTTAACTAGACATAGGAGCTCCACTTTTCGTAAGGTAATGGACATTTTAGAGTACCGGACACTGGAAATTCTTTATATGTTGAAGGGAATGAAGGAAATATTGTGGTGTCAACACTAGGACTCGAACTCCAGTTCTGCCGTTCATGAGATCGACAGATAAGCCTGCTCGGCTATGATATGTACGCACTTGCAATGAACTAAGCAGCTTCATTAGGTGGTTCTAGTTGGTGCGATAAAATTCTGGTTGTTTAACCGTATTAGGTGAAAGCAAGTAATAAACAGTTTTTCTCACAATTAACAGTTTAATTACCATTTTATTTATTGTTATTTGACCGTTTTGATTAAATATGGTAAAATAACCATTCAATAAATTTTTATTTAACCATTTTTTCAGAGAAATTTCTAACAGTGCATGATTACAAAATTCCTTTATTCAATGATTAGTCAATTCAAAAGATACCTTTAAGTAAATATTTATTATTTTTCATTATTTTATTTTATAATAGTCGAAAAACTTTTGAATTATAAAGTATAAAATTTTTTACATCATTTTAAAGAACGGAAGTTTGCCTGACAAAATACAAAATTTGAGCGAAATGGGACGAATAGTTCCTGAGAATTCAAATTATAAAGAAGCCTTATTTTTTAAATTTGATTTCCCCGGAACTATTCGACCAATTTCTTGCCATGCAGAATTCGCTTAAAAAGTGCTCGAGATAGGGCGAAATAGGCAAAAAATATCATTAAGGGGTTCAAACTTTGGACCGCTCTCCTGACCATATATCACAGATTGCGGTTATTTTTACATATATCCGGCGTCAGAAGTTCGAATCCGTCAAAAAAGCACGTTGAAAGTACGTTTTCGTACTGATTTCGTAATTTAAAATATCATCTGTACTAATTAATTAGCGTATTTGAGGTCACCCCCTCGAACCTTTAAGATTGAACCCTTGAACATAAAGATCCAATCATTAGATCAAAAGTTACTCAGGGTAATCCTTTTTTATTCATCTCATCGTACAACAATAACTAACAATGGAGAGTAATGTTTTTTTTCTTTTAAATACTGTTATATCTCAAAAAGTAGTGTCTTATTTTTGATTTATCTAGTGTAAGTTTTAATTGTGATCATATTCTACGACTAAATTTTTTATTTTCACTAAAATTTGATTTCTGTAAAATGTATGTGCGGTATTCCTTATTGAAAATTTTACCAATCTCATCACACTCTTAGAAATATTGCAAGACAGAAAATGTGCAAATAAAATTATTTTTCGCAATGATAATAGCAATATTCAGCTTAAAAAGACTGCTTTAACGGAATATTACAAGAGATTGCAGGTTTAAAGTTACAAGTTGCTTTCAAACGGTTTGAACTAATTTTTAAATTTTAAACTTAAAATTGTAGTTTTGGAAATATGTATTTAAGATATTTAATAGTTTTCAGATTTCCAACATTATGGTAAAATATTATTTTCAAATACTTATATAATCTTAATTAGTGCAGATATTCAATATTTGTAATGTTTACTCTTTTATAAGTTTGTAACATTACTATAAAAATAATACATACGACAGAATTATTTTTTAAGAATATATTTTTTGCATACTTACTGTCATGTTCCAAGCAAGTTGTTGGTAGGCTAGGAGCAAAATAAAAAAATGTGCCATAGAGTATAGTTTCATGAAGTTTGACATTTCTGGATTATACAATTTATAATGAGGAGCAGGCTGCAACAAGAAAAAAATTTTGTGATTTTTTGTTAAAAAATTAAAGAATTTGAATTAACAATGAAAAAAAATTTTTAGTATCATCATTGCTTAAAATAAATTCAATATGCCTCTTTTTGACAATTATTTTAGATATTCACGAGTTTCTTATTCTATTCACCAATTTTTCTAAGACAAGTAACTATCATAAAGCATGGATTTAATATAACTCTTTTGACAATGTATTTTTGATATTCACCAGCTTCTAGTTCTGCTTATCTGTTTTTCTCAAGAAAATTAACTATCGTATTACGTGTAAATGTAATTCATTATCTGAAAAAAAAATTCTGGTGAAATTGCCATACTGAATAGTATTGACATCACTGGTGAAAAAAACATAATCTTGGAACCTAATAAAACATAATAAAACCAAAATATACTGTAATTAAACTATTCATTTGGTAATTATTATCAGTTTGAATGGTAATTGTTTACCGAAAACTCTAGTTTAGTTTTGACGATTAAAGTTTTTTTATTTACATTAATCCATTTGCACATTTAGTAATAAATCTAAAAATCAGGAACAAATTCAACCGATTTACAAAATAATTTTACGCCATGTTCTAAGGCTAAGGATAAAATTAAATTTTTAACCACAAATTATAAAACCATATTTTATTGTTAATTTTATACAAAATCATTGCCAAATCGCTTCAGTAAAAATTGCCCAACTTTTGACGTTTTCATAAAATCAGGAGCATGGTGAAAGTTATCATATTTTGGTAGTTTAAACCATTCTTTGTTTTCACCGTAGTTTTATGCGATTTGAATTGTAACATTGAAAATTATTTAAAACTCATGAAAGGAAAAAAGAATTAAATATTACAAAAACGAGCAATAATTAACTTTTTAGATTAGCTATGAGCAAGCAAACATCATAGTTATTTTTACCATATTTGACATCATACCATATTTTTGAATATCTCAGAATTAAAAATAGAATTAAAAAAGGTAGAAAATAGGGCTTCTTTATTTGTTTATTATTGCACTCATTTAGATATATATTGAATGCCGTATTTTCAATATCTGCAGTATACTTTTAATTTGCGATGTATACACACAAATCTTTTATTTTATAACGCGTACATTTATTATACATCCTTTATTTTATAACATGTGAAAAGAGCATAACAAATGTATAAAAGAGTATAACTCCAGTTCACTAAAATAATTTAGAACATTTATACATATTTTGTTTAGTAAAAAAAAACATATGTAATGTTCACATTTCATTACGTTGTTACTATATATATTTACTTATTCTTAGATCATTTTTGCCTGTTAGACTGTTAAATTTTCCTTGTGAAATTGAAAAAACAAATTGTTTAAATATAAATTTAACAAATTGAAATCGAATCAAAGCACACAGCTGTTCAAATTGCTATTATTTAACAATTCCCTAAATAAAAGCCCGGGTTAATAAAATATTGAAATTAACATTTTAGCATATTTTTAGTATAAGAAATAATATCAATGTTAAGAACAATATCAATTAAACTTGCAATAATTTTAAGTGATATTATAGCTCAGAATTAACGATTATTTTCAGCAGTGCGGGAGTAGCTTTTTATTTACAACAAATGACTTCAGAAACTGTATCATTAGAAACATACGTGTGGTACATCTTCTATGTTTCCGGTCCAGGGAGACCCTGGTGTCCAACCTGGTCCTTTGAATACAGCGGATAATTTATCACTCCATTTTTCATACTTACAAAATCTCTTCCATATACGTATAAAAGGTTGTGTCTGAAAACAGAGAATTAAATTCAATTGAAAAATTAAAATTGAATTTGACGAAACAAAAACGACATCAGTTTCGTAGGTAAAGTCAGATAAAATGTTATCAAAGCAAAGATTAAAATTTGTAGTGTCCACTTTATAATATTTTATATGGTGCCCACATTAAGCTATGAGATTTTGAATAGCAGTGTTAAATGGTCATACTAGGATAGTAATATTTTAGATCAGGGTCTTTATTTTGTCTGCACGCTAGTCTGGAAGTTTTACCCACTTAAATATTTTTATTCATTTCGTATGAAAGCTTAGGGTAGTTAGTACGAATTTTTCAACTTGTGAGTACAGGTTGCAAGGTACAGTTGGCAAAAAAGAAAAAAAGAAATAGAGATATCAACCGGAATAACTTACACAAAACATACTTTCTCTGAATGAACATATATGTTTTTTTACATATTTAGATTCTTAATCTTCAAAATGTAGGGAGGAGCCGCAATTTGGGAAATGCGATCCCCATAGTTTGATCAGGAGAGCGATTCGAAGTTTGGACCCTTTAATGTCATTTTCACTTTCTGCGGTTTTAGTCATATTTCAAAAACTAATTAAGAAATTTAAAAAAAAGCATACCTACTCATATAACTCATTTATCCAAAGAAAATTTCATACAAAATATAATTTGTAATAATTATCTTTTATAATTTAAAGAGGATGAAAAAATTTTAAATTGTAAGGTATAAATTTTTTTATACCATATTAATCTACATATTTTTCAATTGATAAATTTAAAGTTTCGACTGTTTTATTCAGTAGAAGCTGAGAAAAACTTAAATTAATGATTTTTTAAAAAAAATAATTTGGTGACTGTGAGGAAATATTTAAATGGGGCGATCAATTTTAAAATGTGAATAACTTAGGAGGAAGCTGACATCGAGCAAGTAGCGTCAAATTTCCTTCATATTTTTTTTCTCTAATAATCGATTGCTAATCTTGTTAACTATAAAATACTATAAAAACTATAAAATACGATGTTTCTCTTTTAGTCGTCTAAAAATTTAAAATAAAAGCAATTTAGTAGAGAAATTTGAATGAAACATTATATTGAATAAAAAACATTTTATTCAAGGAATGTCGAGTTTTATCAAAGCATGCTTCTGATAGAATAGGATTACACACCAGATCTGACTTATTTAATGTGATTATATTTTATTTTTTAGTTTGTTTTCTCAATAATTGATACAATTTCAATAATATATATGCGTATGCATAGATTTAGAATAAAATATTTATCAATTTCTTCAATAAATATTTTATAATTATTAATGCGAATGCTCAGTCAAACTTTTTAAGCATCTTAAAATTTCTCAACTTCTTATATATCGTCTTAATATTAAAATAATTTTTTTAATCACCTGCCCGGGAGAGTTTCACAGAACTGTTTTTCCCACCATTTAATTAAAATTTAACATTAAATTTTTTTTATTCTTTACGCTACTACGTATATTATTTCTTGACTAATATACTAACAAATTTTTTAGTACTTTAATTTAGGTTTTCTTTAAATTAAAATTCATTTTAAAATTATTCTCAAGTGCTTTCAATAGAAAGCTTAGAATTATTGTCTGCTAGCTAAGAATAAAACCTTGTTAAGAAATTAAAAACATTCAACTGTTTAAAGTTATTTGATGCAAATTACAGCTGATTATTTAATAATTTTACTGTTCTTTTTTCTTAAACGAAATACAAATTATTGTTTGTCTTTTTTTGCGACTTCAACACAGATTATCTAAAATAGTGTTGATGTTTTATAAATCACTACAGAAAGTGTAAAGATATCGAGCATGAAAGCTGTCGAATGCGTAGCCAAAATTTTTAAGCTTCTTGAAATATCTCAGCATCTTAAATGTCGTCCTAAAATCTTAATTGTGAAATTAAATTTTTAATTATCTGACCAGGTGCGATTCACAGAACTATCCAACTAACTATTTCATCATACCTTTTACTCTTTCTTTAAGATACCATGCAGATTTTAGCACGTTTTCCAAGATATTATTATAATATAATTTATTGCTAGGAAAATTCCTTATTTTGTAAAGCAGAAAAAAATAAAAATTTAAATTTGTAAAAAGATTTCGAAGCCGTCCCAATTTTAGAATCATCTGATTTAAAAAAATGAAAAAGAAAACATAATTTTTGAGCTTATCTTGATAAAGAAAAAAAATACACGTTGAGAAGGTTAACATACTTTTTAGAGAAAACTTTAAAAACTAATTTTTCCCATATTTCGTTACATGAGGATAAGAATGATATTGCTCCAAGGAACCTATTGAATAATTTCATTATTTCCAGAGTGAAATCTGTTTGATTGAAACATATTATTCCTTGAAAACTAAAACAAGAGAAAAATTACCATTTATTATTGATCTAAGCTTATTCCATTTATTTAATGATATCGGTATCAAAGTTAAGGATATGCGATGGAAGCCCCGTTTACCATTATACTATAAATGCATTAAATCACATACATTGAATAATTTATTTTAAGCGAGTTATTTAATAATTTCAAGCAAATAAGGGTGTAAAAATAAACTCGATCGAAATACTCCCTTAAGTATACTCTAAAATATATGTAAAATTAACTTTGGAATCGATAGATAAAAAAATACCTTTTCAAACAACTTCGAGTAGGACGGAAAGGCTAATTTGTTTGAAATAACTGCCCTTGTAACTATTTAATTTCGATTCCTGGTGCTAGGGGACATTCCATTTTCACATTCGACTTTTTAAACTTCAATTGTAAACGAAATTTTTTTATGTGCTTAAAAATGTTAAGGCTTGCCGCTAAAAAAATATTTACTCCATTGATTTTTTTAGAAAGTAGTGAATTATTATTTTTTCAATCTAAAACATATGCCTATATCTTTCGTGAAATTTATTTTAATATCGAGTGAAATTATTTAATATGCCGTGTTACTAAATGGATAATCCCAAGAAAGTGAATCGAAAATATAAAAAATTCATTGATTTAAAAAATAATAGATGATATTAAAAATAGACAAGTTTAGAGGGTTCAATAATTAAAGTCACAAGTCATTCACGCCTGATAAGTCTTGAGAATGGGCGCTTATATTTGAACGCTCGAAACATGTCGACTTTTACTTCCCTCTTAATATTTTTTGAAGTCAGGTGAGTTTTTATCATCAATTATACTGTTTTACATTTGGATCGTGATAATTATTTTGATAAGGATTTTACACTCGTTTAAGTAAACATATGCAATTTAATATTTTAACAGGATTCATGTGGTCATTAAAAACGTTTGAGAGCTGTGGCATCAATGATGTAAAGGTTGCCTTTAACTATAAAATTAAAATTTTGAGACCACATATTTTGAATTCATGGCATTGAATAATTTATCTTTAAAGTTTTTGTGCTCCCATTTCAGTATCTTAAGGACCTTATGAGCTCTGTTTAAAAAGAAAGTATCGTATCAGATATATATAAGAAAGCAAAAAAAAAATTAAAGTAGCAGCATTTGGTGATAAATGTAGCTTATCGTAATTGAAGAACACGCTGTGCGACATTTCATGGTGAATTTGAGATCGTAAGTTTCAGAACACATCAAAACATGAGGATGCTATTTGCAAATTATTTTTATCTAAAGAAAACCATGTAACCTAAATATCTAGCAGAATGAAGTGATTTTTTAAACAATGAATCATACAATATGCAATATATTATTTCAATATCTTGTTCTTGAACATTACATACTTTTTAAAGTGCCACTTAACATTCAGCAATTCCTTGAAAATAGAAATATCGTAAATTATAGAAAACCTTGTGAATGTGCATTAGAATTTTCTGAACTATCGCCAAATATATAAACCTTTATTGCAACTCAATTTACGACAAAATGTTTTCGTAATTTGAGTTGCAATAAAGGTTTACATTTTAAATTTGAGTTGCAATGAAGGTCCCCCCCCCCTATTTTAAGGATCAGGACTCCAAATATGTAATAAAAAAAATGCTTATTCAGTGTCTGATTTCGTAACTCAATTAATAGTTAGTACTTATTAATTAGCATATTTGAGATCACCCCCAGGAACCATTAAGATTGTGACTTAGTTCGGGAGAATCTGATTATTAGAACGAAAATTATTCAGGGTGATTTCTTTTGCGACTGTACCTGTTAAAAATATCGTGGTTGTGGTATAAAGTCATCGCTTTGGCTGTGATGAGACAGTTTGGAGGGAAGGGTACCAGCTCAGGCGTGGTTCACATCATCTGATAAGAGTCAAATTTACGTGACATTTCTATCATGGCCGTTCAGGCAGATCTCTGGAAAACGGGACATGGGGCTTGACATGGTTGAATGTGGTGATGATCAAATACATCCTGTGCGAATAATCAATCTTAATTGTGATTAATACCTTCAACAGAGCACTGAGTACTTCGGGGTACTGAGGGAGCAAATTTTGACATTTGTGTGGCTCTCTCAGTAGAAAAGGTTTTGTTCTATGGCTTCCGTAGCTGGTACCACCTGCAGACGTCGGCTTCGGTTACCATACTTTTATTTCCATTGTTTTTCTTTTTTCTTTTTTGCTTAAATTATTCTTTCTCATGAAAATTTCTACTGCTTTGAGCGTTTCTTTCAAAGAAAGTTCTGTTATTATATAATTAAATATTTTGTATTCCTTTGCTTCAACAAAGTAATCTGTTATAATGTATTATTAGCTTTTTAAAGGATTCGCTTTAAAAGATTAGTATACAGTTAGATTTTTCATTCTGAAATTACGTAAAATAACAAACAACAGCCTGTTCCACCGATTGTCATTTGACTGTTTCTGCTAACAATTGAATAAATTGTTATTTAACGATATTCAGCATTCAACATGTTTATTTCAGAAAACTAATTAGATTATTTCAAAATTATCTTTTTTGATGCGTAAAGTTAAATCAGTTTACAGGATAATATGATTATTTTAGAATTATTCAACAACAAATTCTATCTAGTTTTATAATTTTACTAAGAATATTTTCTTTCTAACAAGAAATAAAAAAGGAAAATGTATACATGCCTGTATAATCAACGGATTAAATGATTTTGTTTGTGTAGTGCAACCATACAGTGGTTTTTCTTCAGGATCTTCTGCTTCAAAAGTTCCAAATATGCGATCCCATATGATAAGAAATGCACCAAAGTTCTTATCTATATAACGTCTGTTACGACCTAAATAAAATTCACTTTTTTATTCCCATTCATAAATTTTATGCATTTCTTTATAGATGTTGAATTTTTTTTTTCTTCTTTTTTTTTTAGAAAAATAGGTTGCTCCGTTGCTTCGATCACCAACCCCTGTGGTTACTCCTTGTTGAGGTTTGAGTTCGAGATTAGTTAGATAGTTTTGACTTTCCTGTGCTGGCAACATCTTATTGTTTTTATATTCTTTTTGATGTAAATAAAAGTTAAGTTTTCAGTTTGTTCTACGTGATATTCAGTCTAATTTACTCTCAGCAAAGTCCAACATTTGGTGCCGAAATAACTCGGTAAGTCATGCTAAACTTGTTTTAATTACTTTCGTCAAAAATCTGAATTGGAATGGCTACCGGTAGTGAAAAACTTGTAGTATTTAAACGCAAACGAACAACGCTACGTATGGAAAAAATGGTCCAAGGAATATTTGCTTCAATTGCGGTCATTTCATCAAGTTCGTAATCAGGACAATATCATTAACATCCGAATTGGCGATATTGTACTTCTACAAGAAGATGTCCGATCACGGCACATGTGGAAGAAAGCTAGAGTGGTGAACTTGCATGAAGGACGAGATGGAAAAATAAGATCCTGTGAGCTGAGAGTTAATTGTCACAATATAACCCGTCCGGTAGCTCTGGTCATCCCTCTCGAGTTCGACCAGGGTGGGGAAGATGTTGAGGTTTGAGTTCGAGTTTAGTTAGATAGTTTTGAGTTTCCTGTGCTGGCAACATCTTATTGTTTTTATATTCTTTTTGGTGTAAATAAAAGTTAAGCTTTTAGTTTGTTCTACGTGATATTCAGTCTAATTTACTCTCAACAAAGTCCAATACTCCTCATTCAACTATTGAAGATTAAAAGGAGGAAAGGCTACATTTTAAGAATGACAAAGTTTTCGAAAATCAGTTACAGGAAAAATCAATACCTCCCCTTACAGAGTTATTACTCAGTGAAGATGATGTAGCTAAACAGTTCCTGTCAGCGCTTAAATTAATTTTTTTCTCAGAATCAACTTCAATGGTCATAAAAAAATTTAAAAAGTTTTTTTTTGTCTTAAATATCAATGAAGAGGATCATTTTGTTTAGAAAATATATTATTATCATAGTTTCGTGTAAGCACACTTTACAAATGTGCTAATTGTAACTAAATGAAAAATAGCTGAATCTGAAAAAATAATCAAGCGTACTTAAAAGAAACTAAACTTAAGGATAAAGAATTTACGACGCAATAATCAGTAATAAATAACATGTTAACAATATGTAATAAATATACATCACACATCAACCTTTTATCATGTATCAGTTTGAATTGAAAAAAGTTTTTCCTTCTTTATATTTTTAAGTCTTTATATTTTTAAGACTTCGGATGTACTTGTTAAGGTTTGTATCTGGAGACACCAAGCCATCTTAAATTTTGTTACTTTTGACATCAAATCAAGAACGAAAATTATGAGAACAATTTATTATTTAAAGAAAAAAAATTGCAAAAAAGTAGGTAAAATTGCAATAACTTTAACACAAATACGAATTTCGAAGAAAAAAAACTCTCGTTAATGTTATGATGACAAATGTACTATTACCAATGGTCTATCATCAAATGGTCTGTAATTGTAAATGGTCCATCTATTTTCAACTCTGTAGTTGCATTTAAGTAGACCATAGACCAACCAACATGGTTTTTTATAGTTACAAATTAGTTAATAACTCTTGAACTAATAATCGAATCGTTTTTTTTTTATTCGGTCGCATTCCTTGTTACATTTTCCTATACCCCCTTGAAATTTCACATTACTAAGTCTCATAAATTTTGAGAGCAAAATCCAACGATCTGGATCAAATTACAGTAACGTACAGTTACGTATTACTGGCATTACAGTTACGTATTACTGGCACTCTGAATGTCGTATTCGTAAAATACATTTTATTTTAAAAAACCATTTTTACAGTACCTTTTCGTACCATAATTCTTACAGTAATTTTTATTTAATTACAAAGGTCCAGTAATATGTCAGTAAATATTACGATATATCAGATTTTTCGTTTGACAAAACTTTTACGATAAAAATAGATTTTACGGTGAACTATACCGTCGTACCTGGATTGCTGGTAGATTTTACTAGGATTTCATAGTGTAATTGTTATTTTATAAACTGTACACCCTTGCTTCTGTTAGATGTCTATCGTATATGGTGCATTGGGAATTTTTAAAACCAGCTGCACAGATTAATAAGCAAATAATAGTAAATCGTAAAAGCTATGTTTTTACTCTCTCCATATTTTCCAAATTAGAATACTTAAAGGCAGCAGAAAACAGTTTCATTATTCGTAGGAAAAACAATTTTATGCCAAGGAGCAAGAATTATTGAGATTAAATCATCGAGATTGCAGAGGAGCTTTGCCCTAAGTATTAATGCCTAAATATCAAGTATGTTTATTGTTTTATATTCAACTTTAATTCTCCTTTAATACAAAAATTTTTTTTAAAAAAATGTGTGCATATCGAAATAAAAAAAAGAAATACGCTAGTCAAAAAGTAAAGTACCAAAACTTACCATGGTGTGCTCTATGATGACTGGGAGTGCTGAGAAAGAACTCTATTGGTGCTGGTAATTTGCCAATAATCTGAAAAGTTAAGCACTTTATTAAAAAAAAAAAAAAGAAGCACTTTATTAAAGAAAAGTTGATTTATATTACACTAGTGGGCTGCGCCTCCTGCTCTTTAACGCTCGCCAACCCCCGAAAATTGCTACGCAATCTTATATGGTTTGCTTCGCAAACCAAGCTCGCTTCACTCGCTACTAACTTAGGAAAATTGCAAATGCACGAAATTCTAAGAATGCAAAACAATCATTCATATCCATATAAAAACTTTTTCTTTTAAAAAAATTACATCTTTTTAGTAAATACTAAGTCATTAAAATAAATTTGAATTCAAATAAATGACATATAATTCGTTAAACCTATTAGAAATGTGCTATAGTATAATTCGTGATATAAATCAAAAATCGTCAAATAAATTCGTAATTTATAAATTCATGAAAAAAAAGCGCTTTCGACAAAATACTAAAATAGAGATCTATCGACAAAGACTACTCACTTCTGCCTAGCTTAAGGTTATTTCAGTTTCCGTTTTTAAAAGCGCTATATGTTGAGCCACCTCAGCTAGATTTGGCATGTGACAATTTTAGTGGCAATCATTGGTCGATTTTCCAGCGTTGTCATTCGGGGAGTTGTAATGAGGCTTTTCTTTGTCGCCGTGTAAGATAAATAGTAACGTAAGCAAAACAAAGCAAACGTTGCCACCGGCGGGAAAGAAATACAGCCAAAATTGGGGAGCCACGTAAGAGAATTATATATGTTAGATTTTAAGCACAAAATATTACGTAAATGTCTTTTGTAGTGTAAAATGAATACAATTTAAGGCGAAATTGAATTATGATCTCTAAAACAACGCTTTTAAAGTATTGCATTTTAGGACAATTTAATTTTTAACTAATGTAAACCGGAAATTAACAAAACACACTGATTTAGTTTATGACAAGACCTGGTGTGTATTTTTCAATCATTACATTAATTCATACTATTCCTTGCTATCGATTAGTCAGGCAGGTCTACTTCTTTTTTCCCATCTAATTTGACTAATTAAAGTTTAAAGAAAATTATCTAATTTTCTTTAAACTTTAATAGTACGTAGATCTCTAATGAATGTACTGTTCAACTTCATTAGATTTAAAATTTTGAACTCAACAGAGAAATCAATGGAATTTCTGGATCAAGGCTAAGGGCAAAATCATTGCATATCTAATGGTTTGGGCAAAATGATAAGGGCAAAATCATATGGTTTTTGAGAGAAACTAAACCATATTTGCTTTAGTTAGAGTTAAAAACTATAAGAATCTGATTGTAAAAGAGATTTCAATCTATGATTCGTCAGCCAATGTAATAAAAACTGCAATATTATATTTTAACTTTTTTTAAAGATGTTGTAAGTTGCTGATGGATGCTTCAACTTAAGTAAATTCTATATTTTAATAATGACACCGTATTTTGTTTTAAATTTTTAATTGGCGCATGTTCTTAAGGCTAATTTTTCATTCGTTAGAAATATTTAGTCTAAAAATTATTTTTAAGGCATTCTTAAGTAGCTTAAACATAATACTTATCTCCGGCCTGAGATAGCCAGGTTGGTAGGGCGTTGGACTCGGGTTCGCGAGAGTTTAAATCCCCTTTTAGTAAATGGTAACTAATGCACGTTAAATCTGTCGAGTGACGAAGCCCTCTTTGCTCCAATTGCAAACCATATCTCTGGAGGTATCCAGAAGTTTCCTTGTCTTCTGGATCAGTTCAAAATTACAAAGCTGAGAATTTGAACATTGGTAGTCGTAAACTCAAATTTGGGTCTGCTGTTCAATGACGGTAATAAAATAAAATACCTCTCTCCAATACCTCTACTTATTAAACACTTACCTCTGTGTGAAGCCAATATTGATAGATTATAGTAATCTGGTAATGAACAAGGAATGCAGTAGGGGGGACAGCTAATGCTAGAGGTACACACGTAAGCTGTGTAAAAAAATTAAGAATATATAATATATATCATATAAATCTAAAGTTAATATTTTGTTACTTCCTATGAAATATCTTACTAAATGCAAATTTTTTAATTAAATTTTTAAAAGAACCCTTAGCGATTTTATTATTTTCAAGAAAATGTTGTCAAGAAATGTCCTTTTTTATTCAAGAAAATTACACAGAAAAAGTGTAATTTCAATATGCGTATTCATTTCTGATTTTTGGAATTTTTTCAGCTTGAATTTTTAAAAAAAAATATTTTTTAGGTGAGGTTAACATTTAGAATTATTGAGATTGAATGCTGGTTTTCCAGTAAGCAAAAGAGAATTTAAGGAAAAAAAATACGTGTTTTAAACATTAAGAATTTTTTTTTTCTGGTAAGATAAATTTTAAAGCATGAGATGCAAGTTTAAAATAAAGTGCTTCCAGTTACATTAAAAAAGTCTGTTGCAAGCATGTAGTGTGCAAAATAAGAAATATAAAAATTTCGAGGATAAGACATGGGTGTATTTAAACCATTTTGGTGCAATACTTTTGAGCACCCTGGAAATATCACGGGCACGAGAAATAAGAGACGGAAGCTCTCCTTGTAATTTTGACGGGAGCGAGAGAAATAGTTAACTGAATTACTGAATGGTTAATGACACTGAAATTTAAAATAACTTTACATACTTCTAAAAGGGTCATTTTATGGATAAATTATCGTCATCAGGAAGGATTCCCGGTTTCAGTGTATTCTTTAAGTACAAAAGAAATAAATTTATTAAATCATGAACACGAAAGAGGTGTTGAAATCGAAATAAGGTTTAAAGATTTGAAAAGCGTTTTGAATCGGTTATGTTTTTACAAATACACGCATAATTAATTTACAGCACCAAGCTTAAATTTACTTTAGAAAACCAAGTAGAAAGAATATTTAGAAAGCGATACTTAGTTGCAAAAATGTTTTTATTTTTTTCTTAATAAATGAAAGGGTACCATAATAGTTTCTAACTTAAAGACATATTTGCTTTGCCACTTTTTTCAAAATAAGCTATGCCACAGCAGTGTTTATCCGCAATCGTAAAAAAATAGCTCCTTTTATTAAATAAATAATTAAAGAAAAAACAGCTCTCTTTTCCGAGAAATTAATACACACATTAATCTGTGTACAATATTTGATAATAGTATACGTTCATCAAACATTATGTTCATAAAAGAGGTTACGCTAATCTAAAATGCTGGATTATCGAAACCAAGTAAAACACGAAAATTTATGTCACATAATAGTATCTAAAAATATTGTTCAAATGCGAATATATGTCATGTAAATGCGAATTACAATAGAATGCCATGAAAGCTATGGCCTGTAAAAATTCCGGATAAAATAACGATAAAATGTGCCGGAAATGAACTTGCTGGTGCCTTTTAGCATATGCTTTTTTAGATAATAGAAAACAAATTGAAAAAAAAAAGCTGAACTGAAGAAAAAGAACTGAAATTCTAATAAAATTAACCTGCTGCTTGATAAGGAAATTTTTGCTTAGAATAAAAAACAAACATATATCTGAAACAAGAAACTAAAATATATGGTATTCAGATAATTCATTTAATAATTTTTTCCATTTGCCCATTACACCATTACTTATATATTTTTTCATTTCATTTATAATTTTTTTCATTGACCCATGTATATGGTAACGATTTTCCGGAAATATTGGTTCTTAAGTTTACTGTTCTTATTAACACACTTTTATTAAACATTATGAGACTGAAAAGTGTACTTAACTGAACGAATGGTTTTTATACGGTGCTCTAAGGTGTCATGAAAAATTTATCAAATTTTACCACAATTACCAAATTTTATCATTTATTTGAAAACTTTATTTTATTCTTAATTTTACTAAAACCATTCCCTATGGGCTTCGATAAGAAATGCTAAGCTTTTCAGTGTTTTCATAGAACCAGAAACATGGAAAATTTTATAGTACAGTCGAACTCGTTTATAACGAGCTCGGATTTAACGTGAACTCGGATTTACCGAGGGAAACGAGAATATTTAGTTGGATCAATGTTAAGTCTATGGAACAGAAGTCGCTTTTAACGAGCAAGACCCGGTTTTATCGAGCAATATTTTTCTGTCTAGCAATCTTTTTTTCAAAATGATAAGAAATGCGCGCGAAATAAAAAATAAAAACTGCGAACTGAAACTTCAAAGTAAGCTAACAAACTACTATTTTAAATATGTAGATTAATGAAAAAAATAAATGTTTTGGTAAGAATCTTTTCCTTTATTTTTCTTTCCGTTTATTGCTTCTTTCCTTTAAGACTGTAGCGCAACTAGAAATTTTTTGCTGGTTGGGGGGGGGATAGTTGTCATTAAATTAAGAAAAGTATTTAATTAAATCAATTAAAGTAAGTAAGTATTAATCAAATTTTATGTAAACTCAATAATTTGACTTCCCAACCCCCCCCCTTCTTCTGGTTGCACGCCTGCCTTAAGGACCCGTTTATTACGAGCACTCGGATTTAACGAGTACATGTTACGGTCCTTTGTGCTCGTTATAAACGAGTTCGACTGTAATCTGACCTTCCAGGCTTTTACCCTTTTCTCAGTGAAATCAGCTTTTTTTCATTGTTTACTCCTGACCTAAGAAACTAAATTCCACAATAATTTTAATAATTAATTATATACAGAACTAACAACATTGTGGGCCGAGATAGCCTGGTCGGTAGGGCGCTGGGCCCATGTCCGAGAATTCGTGGGTTCGAACCCAGCCAGCCGAAGACTCCCCGTGTAGTTGGTGACTAATGCAAGTTAAAATTCTGTCGAGTAGCAAAGTTCTCAATGTTCCCATAACAAATCAATACCTCTGAGGGTACAGGATTGGGGACCGATCGTTCTCTGATTCAGGTCAAAATTAAGATCTGTGGATGAATTAATGAATGTATGAATGGGTTCACCTTATAAACAGGTGAGACGTGTGATGTGACAGAAGTCGAATTTTTGGCCATAGATGGCGCCACTGAAAAACAAGTATCGCACATTCTGCCTTAAATTTGCTCGGTTTCACCAAGCAGGCTTGCACCGTGGGGCAAGTGGCATTAGAACCAGCCAACCAACCAACAACATTGTGTAGGTAATATTTTTGATTCCGAGTTGTTTAGAAATACAATACACGACGAGATAGACAGCGCAAATTATAGTTTCTCGTTCCTGAAAAAAAATTATCAGATTGAACTCTCTCTTCGACAATTTCATACATTTAAATCTTTGCTTAAATATAAAGAACAAAACTTGGTGGAGGTTGATCTCACAAAAATATCCAAGGAAAGAGGTAATAATATCGGAGGATTAAATTCCTAGGTACTGTAATACAAGGGAAGGACTGTTTCCAGTGTATAGCAATTGATATAGGCTATCACACAGTCATAGACTTCTATTGTGAAGAGCTTATTGTTGTTCAAGGCGGTGAAATGTTGTTTTATCAGGAGCTTGTTGAAGCATTATTTTGTTGGAAAGCCATGTCCACACTTCATTAAAAATTTTCGCAAAAAAATTTTATGTTTTAAAACAACCCTCGATCAATTAGTCAAAAGAAACAGGATCAATTCCCCGCTCTTGAACAACTAGAATAGTAGGAACGGTGATTGTTTCAACACCTTTCCGTTTATGACGGTAAAACCAAGCTAAAACAAAAAGAAGAAAAATGGTAATAGTATAATGTTGCAAAAGAATTATTTTATCGCAAAACTTAGTGCTATTAATCGCTAAACTTGAGAGAGCTTGATTTTTATCTCGCCATATATTTTACACACACACAACAGATTTTATCTACTCGAGGTATTCAATCTTCTTAAGGCGTGATCTTCACCAGCTGTTCCACCAATTTCGATGTAGAGGTAGGTATCATGCAATAACACTAAGTAGAAAAATCAGCAGCAAGTTATATTTCCCTGTTTTAAACGATACTAGCCATTTTAAACAGTTTTCCTTTTTCTTAGGAATGTAAAAATAGCTTTTTTTATATTTAAGGAATTGTTGTGATTTTTGTTAGAAGAAATGAGACGGAGAAGGTAGGGTTATTTGAAAAATAATCGTAGTTATTTAGTTTAGGAATATAGTATAATTAGCATTTGGAGAGCAGAATATCAAGTAATTTTGCTGACGTTGCTCTAGGGTTATTAGATTAATTGTCAATGTCGTTGCAAATTGAAATGAGAACAAAATTGAATCAGTTTTCTTATTTAATTAACAATAAAAATATTTAAATGTTCATCTTTTCATAGGAGCTGTTCTATTTCTTATCTTGCTAGTTGAAAGTTGTTAATTACTCTATCTAGTTGTCCCGTTCCTAAATATTGTGTTTAATTCTTTAATTTGTTTATGGTAACTTAGGCTTGTTTAATTTCTGCAGTGTATGTTCCTTTAACCCTAGCTCACCCATCTTCTTTAATATCTGTTCCTTTTTCAAACTTTTCTTAATTTTTTGTGGCATCAGTACTTTTAACAAGAGTTTGTTTATTTTCGTTAGTATCTGTTGCTTTTTGATGTGTTTGTTTAATTCCCGTAGTATCTGCGCCTTTAACTTGCATTATCTTTTCCTCAGTATTCGCTCCTTTATTTTGCTTTTGTGCAACTTCTTTGGTACTTCTTCATATTGTTTACTATCTTTGGTTTCCGCTTTTTCCATATCTTTTTAGCTGGTCACTTTGTTTTTTCTTTATTATAAAAAATTTGCATACGAAATTTCAATATTTTTGAATTTTTCATTCATAGCTAGTTTGCTAACGATATTTATTTTTAACCTGCGAGTTATTTAAATCGTGTCATTTTCCAGGTGCTCTCTTAAAAACTCTTCCCCAATTTAGTGACAGGGCTTCTATCTGAAAAATTGATACTAATAGTTAAAACAATTTAATGTTCAAATAGTAATAATAATAATTTTCGAATTTTTATAAACCTAAAAAGCTCTGTGTGTGAAAAGAATGAGGACATGGACAACTGTCATTTGTCCAGGTTTTGTGGGAATTCCGGAGTGAAAAGAAATTGAAGTGCCAAATGCATAAAAATGAAACATGCTTTTTTTCATGCTTATTATTTTGTATCAATTTGTCATTTTCTCATGCTATTGGAAATAAAAATAAACAAATATTTGGGGTGATGCTTGTGAAAACATATCTATTTAATTAAAGTACAAACTGCAGGGAAACTTTCAGACTAAAATTTTTTTATATTAATTGTTACATAATTCGAGGTTTCCTTACTTTAGCTCAATCCATGCAACCTAAATACTTGCTAATTCAAGGCTTTAATATAAAACAACAATTGTTACACTCAGTCAATAAATTTTGATCTGCTTTTTTTTCGTGACAAAACTATACTCTATAACAAAAAAATCGACGCACTAAGAAGCAATCATCCGATTGCTTCTTGGTGTCAGATTACAGTGGTGCATGGCTCGATCAGGCTAGAATGATGTCGACTGGGGACGTATAGTCTTTAGCAACGAATCCCGCTTCCAACTGTGTCCTGACGATCATCGAAGACGTGTTTGGAGACGCACAGGGCAGAGGGGGGATCCTGCCTTCACTATTGCACGCCACACCGGCCCTCAACAAGGCATTATGGTCTGGGGTGCCATTTCCTTTGACAGCCGGACCCCTTTGGTCGTCATTAGAGGTACACTTACTGCACAGCGGTACGTCGACGACATCCTAAGATCTGCTCTGCTACCGTTCCTTTTGCAGCTCCCTGGGCTGGTTTTTCAGCAGGATAATGCCAGACCACATACGGCACGTGTTGCTATGAACTGTCTGCAAGCTTGTCAAACTCTTTCTTGGCCTGCCAGATCACCAGATCTCTCTCCCATCGAGCATGTCTGGGAATGATGGGAAGGCGATTGCATCTGGCACGGAATGTTGATGACCTCGTTCGACAATTGGATCGCATTTGGTAGGAAATACCGCAAGAGACCATCCGGGAGCTTTATCGGTCTATGCCACACCATATGGCAGCTTGTATCCAGGCTAGAGGCGAGTCAACACCTTATTGAACTTGTTACTGTAACTCTGCAATAAATTATTCAATTGCTCTGAAATTTTAATCATGTATTATTCTGTACATTGTCTTCCTATCCACCAATTTTCGTTTCAATTGGACAATTCCTTCTTGGTGCGTAGATTTTTTTGTTATAGAGTGTAATTTATGAGATATGAAATATTGCCTTTTACGCTCTTTTGAAATATAAGTATGAAGCAACACAAAATGAAAATTTCACTTAACTTCTATACCAATAAAGTGTTTTATGAAAATTATAAAATTATGAAAACAATTACAGTGTAGTAAAACGTTAGCCTTTTTGATGAAAACGATTTCGTTTATGATAAATAAGTTCGTTTAAAAAAATAAGTAATCAAAATATATTTAATAACGTAAAAAAAATTTTGCAGGCAATAAATCATATTGGATTCATTAAAATAAGGTAATGCAAAAAAATATTTTTGTTTCCGGAAGTTTTTTGACACGACAGAAGCATAGCCATTCACTCAGCGTAGCAGACAGCTTCAATCGCTGTCTACCTTTACCTAGAGTGCCTAGAGTAAAATTTCAATACAGGCACTCTACCTTTACCTGGGGAAAGCGGTACTGTTTTAATGACAGTTCATTTTAGTACCGTGAATTAATCTGAGACGTAACAGTTAAGTTACTGATCTATTTCAACCATAGTTTTCCAAAGTATCTAGCACCTTTTGGAACAGCAAGAGTATAGGTATATTCCGTAAGACTAAATTTGGATAAACAAGAAGACTGTAGGCAAAGGTTACAGTCACAATTAACCTAGGATGTGAAGAATGCAAAGGTTTCAGTAACAATTAACATAAGATATAAAGAATGCTGATAATTTAAATTATTGCGAATTTTGAAATAAAAATAGTTTCAATATACCCAATGAGTGGGAATCAATAGAATAGAATTCCTCATTGGAGAAGTTAATTGCATCTCTTCTGGTGTGTGATGAGTCCCATGAATAGCCCACAATATATTCACTTCTGCAAAAAATGTACAGTTAGTTCACGGACGTAAAAAAAAAAAATCAATTCCTTTTAGAATAAAAATGTATAACAACTACCGTTTTATAAAATCTGTTTGGAGGTAGCCACAAATTTCTCACTGAACATTGTTGAAAAATTATTCATCCTCGATTTAAATCGTCTTTGAAACTAAAATCGTGTTCGAATAAATTATCTAAAAATACTTGTATTCCTTGAAAGTAATGAGCAATTTTTAAGCTATATTAATGAAGAGACAATTTGTTCGACTCTGTGCAATTTATTTTGTTTCTTATTCGTGATGCATTTATATTTTTTTGATTATGTGTTTGGCCCCAAAATTTCACAAAGAATTAAAAAGAAAATTTAATTCTCAGGGAATTTTAAATGTTTATTCCTCTTCTTTTCCCCTACTGATAAGACTATGAAAAGTATATTCTATGTAAGTAACAAAGCAATACTTGAACTACGAAACAAAATCATAAAGATATGCAAATGATTTATCGAACACGAGATATAATGCAAATTTAATAATTAGGGAAGAGTGGGGTCAATTGTAAAATTTTTTACTTAACTATTTTTAACTAACAAAAAATCCAATATATTATTAGTATTAATTGACAGACGAGTAAAGTAGACTATCCTCTACTAGAAAAAAAATAAATACCTTATTTTAAATGTTATTATATTAGTTATTAACAATTTTTGACAGTCGTGCACTTGTTACAATTGTCCCCACTTACGGGGTCAATTGTAACAGTTCATAAATTCAACTAAAACATAGTTAATTATACATATTATCATAGTTGTGATATATTTTTTTATTGATCAAAATAGTAGTGATATTTTAGGAGTAAAAATAATAATGAGCAGAGACCTAAAGGGTTAAACTTTTAACTTTAAGGGGTTAAAAATTTTAATTTATGCTGTGAAAGGTGACAAATAAAATAATGCACATGCAACATAATATAAATGATATAGGAAACTATTGGTGGTTCTTAAAGAGTTAAGTAATGGTTTGTAAACATAAGATTATTTATTTTCAGCTGTTACAATCTTCCCTTTACTTATTGTTACAATCGTCCCCAAGACGCCATTTCAGCTTCATTTGTTAAAAACAATGCTAGTTAATTAACAAAACTAATCTTTTTTTTGAAATGTTAATTAAGGTCTCCACTTTCATATTCGGTTAATAATTTTTATTTGCTTAAAAAAAATTACTTTGTTACAATATAATATTCTAATACCAAAAAAAAGTACTTACGTAGCGTGAAAATATCTTTTGTGATGTAACTGTTTCAAAAGTACATAAAAATGGTTGCCAGGGGTATACATGTAGATTTATTACATGCACCTTGTGCTCCACCTAGGAGCCAAATCTAGAACTCGACACTCGAAATTTTTGCTCTGTTACAATCGTACCCTGTTACAATTGATCACACTCTCCCCTACCTAACATTTTTAAAGTAAACTGCATAAGAAGTGTAATTACTAACGCGTTTTAGAATAAATTTTGGGAATTTTATTTTAAAACAAAAGTCATTTGACTCAAAATGTTTATCCAAATGTTGATAGGCAATACTTTGTGTTGCCCATTTTGCACAAATAAAAGCTGCGGAAATGTGCTATACTCATGGTTCTTTTCACAAAAACGATGTCTGAATACAATAATTTGTGTTAAGACGCCGAGTAAAGTTTTTGTTCACATAATCGAAACCTGGAAATAATGATGGAAATAGTACCCATTTCTATTTATTTATTCATTCTACGGGTTCGATCCCCTGCCCAGACACCGGATTTTCGGGATGCAGAAAATCCTCAGCAGCCATGTCGTATGATTATGCGGCATGTAAAAGATCCCTGGAGTGCCTTATTGGCTCTTGGCATTTCCGGCAAAATTAAATTCCTAGTGCACTTTAGCATCCAAATAGAGTCTCGGTGCTGCCATCTAGTGTGGCAGAAACTAGACGTCCAAATTAACATGACCAACGGTATCTCACCCATTGTGGTGGTCCTGAAAGAGTGGATACCACCTCTGGAGGACGCGCTAGGTCTGCCCGTCAGCAAGACTGATTGTGCAGCTCATTGGAAATAAATTTTTTTTTATTTATTCATGCTCAATTCACGTTGTTTTGCTTTATTCAAAATATTGAATTGTGTACATACGGTGTGTCATTCTATGAACCCAATAGAAGCAAAAGTCTGTAGTGATCCAAGCTAACATCCAAGTCCAGGGTGAATTCCAAGGAAGTTCAATCAATCTGTAGTTATTATAAACCCAAGCATAAACAAAAACTTCAACTCCTTTGAATGGAATTCTAAAAATTAAAATCAACGAAACTCAAAAATTAATAAATAATTGCGTGATTTTATTTATCAAAACTTGAAAAGTACGTTATTGAGAAGGATGATAAGTTAACTCGAGAATTTCCTATAAAGTATTCGTATTTTTAAAGGACTGACATTTTATTGCAAAAAAAAAAAGCATAATTTTGAAAATGAAAACCAAAATATACAGCATTTGAAGCATTCATTTTGTAATTGTTTTGCATTTATGGTTATATATTTTTTTGTTTCGTTATAAAATTTGGTTTTCGAAATTTAGTTTATATTACTACTTTTAGTTTTTATTACTACATTGTAAAATTAACGAAACAAAATTAACAAAACTGAAGCATTCAGTAAAACTAACATTTAGTAAAACTAGGAGACTTCGCCCCCTGCTCGCTAGCGCTCGCCAACCCCCGGAACTGCTTTCGCAGTTCATTTCGGATTGCTTCGCAATCCGATGCTCGCTTTGCTCGCTCATTGGATACGTTCTTAACGTTTAGCTTTTGTATACTTTTTAAAACACTGAAGTTCCGAAAACTTTTCACTGTAGAAAATTCTAAGCCTGTGCATTTCAATATTAATTTGAAATTGAAAACAGTTCGCATATTTTTCTTAATCACACTATTCTAAATTTCAGTTGTTGAGAAAAGTAACTGTTGTAAGTTTTGTTTTAAAGTCTTTCCCACCAGAGGGCTAAAACCATGTGTTGTAAAACAATATGAAATAGTACTGAACGCCGGATGTAAAGCATCGGCTTCGATGAAGATAATTTTGTGAGAATTTTTTTGATAATTCGGTGAGAATTCACCCGATTAGACATATGATACTCACTACGTGCTCTTGCGCGCCGAAGCCTATCAATTAAAACGTATTAGCGTTTTATATAACATGGATTAGCCATATGATGCTCACTACGTGCTCTTGCGCTCCAAATCCAATCAATTAAAAATGAAAACTGTTGCCAGCGCGAGAAAAGAAATATCATCGGTTTTATTGATACATACATACGTACGTATTAGCGTTTTAAATAATATAGATTAACAAAACTGAAAATTAATTTTAACTCAATAAAAATGGTTTTTATGCCATGTTCTTTGGTATCATGATTAAATTACCAAATTCTACCACTTACTACAAAAAATATTTGATTGTTAATTTTACCAAAACCATTTCCCAAAGTTCGGGAAATATTACTGAGCTTTTAGGTGTTCCCATAGAGCCAGATACACTGCAAATTTAACTCCATATTCTGAAATTTTAACCCATACTTTTTTGACATGGCCAGTGCTATTTAAATGAATTGCTGAAAAATAATTTTATTCAATATGGATCCTTAGTTTAAGGCAAAATTTTTATTTCTAGCTAATGCTATTATTACTTGGGGTTTCAAATAGAGCCGATATTGTCTTGGCAAGAAATAAGTTAGTTGAATAATATAATAATTAATGCTAACAAAATTAGCCTATATTATATTAATGTGTTTAACACATGTAAAAATAAAACGTTTGCTGGTTATTAACAACATGAATTATGTAAATGTTTATTATAGTGAGATACTCCATGGTTAAATAAAAAATTAAACAGTATAGTTTACACTGTTCAGTTTATTCAAATTTAAGAGAGACGTGAAATAATATCCTTTTGGGCACTCACATCCATTTTTTAGAAACATTTTTACCATTAAATTTACGTTTATAATCCCCAAAAATTAACATGAATATAACTATGCAACAAAGCGTCACTTTTTCGTTAATAAAACGTTTTTAAAAAACTGTAAAAAAATGGGTAAAATGTGCATGTTAAAATAACGTATTTTTAGTACGTATTTTTAACGAAATATTTAAAAGGAAAATTGATAACGTTAAAAACCGTCATTTTATATATACGTTTTAACGAATGAAGAAATAGTGAAAATCATCACGTGAAATTAACGTAATTTTAACATAAGCCCAAAACCTTATAACGGACGGACGTATTTTTAACGTTTATTTGCCCCTTCATGCTGCCTGGGAACATATCACTACGCCAAATCAGAGGTTACAGTATTTTTTTTTTGTTGGAATATAAATAAAACGTATTGTAACTTGACTCATGGCCAATTTAAATGGTAAATGGTTCTTAAGAATATTCCTTTCGTCAAGTAGTTAAAGTCTCTTGCTCAGACGTTACTTAATGAATAAGGATTGAAGACAGTTCTTAGCAGATAATAATAATATAAATCACCACTTTTATTTTTTAATAGATTTCGATTATGAAACAGATAAATAATTTAAATATATATATGGTATAAAAATTAAAGATTTGCGAGTTTTCATTGAGTAATTTTATTATTAGTAGACAGTTCACTTTAATAAAAATAAATTCAGAAGCAGTAACAAATGTTTATACTTCTTAGCAGTAAATAATAGAAGCAGTAAATATTTCTCTAATGTGGCACCATAAACTCAGGTATTTCTTTATCTAGTGGCAACACTGTGATTATTATTCATTTTGTTAGAATATCTGAAGTAATAATTAAAGTAGTATTAAAGCAATTAGTCATCCTAATCAATAATTTAAGTGTGTTGAATAGTTAGTAAAGTATTTAATTACAATAATTTTGGATTTTTATGTAAATAAAATCTTAATAATTATTCAGATTCATTTTGGATCCTCTCTAAAATGGCTGCAGAAATTTTAAACATAACTGGTGACGCATACATTGCTTTAAGTTTAAAAGAAATTTCTTACTTGCTTAAATCCATTAGGTAACCATGAAGAACATTTGACATAGTCTCATTGATTCTAAATGCAGGTTTCTTTTGCGAAAACCGTATCACCCATTCGAGAATAATTGTTACCATAAATATGGGTGCAACCTTTTGAAAATAATAATAATAATTAGACACAATATCATATATTGAAATTCTATTCAAAGTTTTTCTTGAAAATGATTTTAATTTGAATATTTATGAATTTCTATTAGAAATCTTTTCAAAAAGCAATTTGATTTTAAGAATTTCTAAGGTTGTATCCAGGGTTGGGTTTTTGACGTCAAAAAGTGGTTTTTGACATGACAAGGGTATAATACTGGTTTAAACCGTCAAAAACCCGTCAAAAATGTCAAAAACTGAAGTTTGCCAAGAAAATATATAAACTTCAAAACTACCAACAGTTGCCATGCATTATATTGAAATTTAATTATACTATAGGTAATCAGCAGGTTTTAAAATATTTTTTAATTAAAATTAAGGTAAAATAACAGATTTAAAATCTCAGAAATTTATATTCAAATGCATGTGCAGAAAAATTTTGCACAAAAATTGTTTAAATATTTATATTTAAAAAAATTTTTTTTTTCTTTTTGATACTTAAGAAAATTAAAAGTTTATTACTATGCATTTTTGACATATAAGGAACATATAACTAATATTTATAAGGAACTTACAAGTTATGTTGTATAAATACAAACTTGATATAAGATACAAGTGTATAAAAATTTTTTTTTAATGTTATACCGAATATCTTTATTATCCAGTATGTTAATTTGAATTTAAAAGTAGTTATATTTATGAATAATGATAAATATAATTCATATTGTTTATTATATTTATTTATAATTATTACACTTATCATTTTAAAACAATTTTTATCTCTTAATTTTTTTTTCTCCACTTGTATTAAGAATACAAATAATGCATATCTTGAAAGCAAGAAGTAATTATTCAACAGCTGAATATTTAGATATTCAACAAAACTATATAGTATTCAGCAAAATGAAATTCACAAGTATTTGGATAAACTAAATTTTCAGCATAGTAAATGAATAGGCTGAATATACTGTAAATCGACACTAACTACTCTGTGTATTTAACAGAAAGCACTTAAATTTGTATTGTCTTATGTTAAAAAGATTATTAAGAAGATTTAAAAGAATATTAAAAAGATTTTTCTTTAAAAGATGTCTAATGTACAAAACTGCTAATGTTTATCTTTAAAAATGTCTAATTTTTAGTATAATCTATACTATACACTAAATTTGGTTATAAATAAATTTCTTAATAATATCACTGCAGATTTTCAATAACACATGAAAATGAATACATAATATTACAAAAGATGTGAGCTTTCAAAAGTACAAGATTTTGGTTACTATTCAAAATATAAGTGTTTCTTCAAAATTTTAAATTTATTTTTTCTAGAACATATTTAGAAACACTATCCTTTATAAAAAATATATAAATTTTATGTATTAATTAAATTTCACATATGAATATAGGTTTTTGACATTTTCGACATTTTTGACAGTGAGGTTTTTGACGTGACGGTTTAAACCATGGTTTAAACTGTCAAAAACTGTCACATGTCAAAAACCTGCCAACCCTGGTTGTATCATAAGCACGGATAATGGGATATCTACAAGTGACGTAGTTTGGCTATCTCGATACTCATTGGTTATTGAAACATGGCATTTGTTTACGTTATAAACTGTTCTTTCCAATATATTTCGATTTAACCAAGCTCGTCAAGTATCAATTCTCTTGAGTGATTTATCCCCTATTCTTACACAAAGATTCTCTCAAAAGATTCTTTTTATATTTAAGAAAATCTTTTTTTATTTATTTCTAACTTAACGCAAAGAGACATGAAGCTATGTAAAACATAAACAAACTAATTATGCATATTTTTGAGATTTTACATAACTTTAAACTATTTCTGAGCTAATATAAACAAAGTTGTATTAAAATTTCAGAAATCATGATGATCTAATTCTGCAGAACTTTTGTGAAAAATATGTTATAAGTATTGGAAATTTACTTATACTAGTATACAGGGAAATTTCCTGATACTTGAATATTTTCTTATACTTGTATCCTCATGCATTTATATACTTGCATGTACTTTAAGTATAAGAAAGTAAATATTATTCGTTTTAATAATAAAATGTTTGGCGTCTTTGGGAAAATAAGTTGAGGGTCTTAGCTATCGAAAATTCTTTTAACTAAACTCTTGGAGACTATATCATTTTGCATGTCCTTTTCATATTTTAGTGATCAGAAATCCAAAAACAGAAGTACGTTTACTGAAAAAAAAATTCTTTATCTCTAATTTTGTAACCTGAATAAATCAGCTTCATATTTTTTTTAACATGATTACGTATGAAGTAATAAAATGGTTTCGCTCCCGAATCTTTAAAACTGTGTTCTACTGTATTAAAATCGATCGTTCACCAAAAAACAATTCAAAGTATTCTTTTGTCAACCGAGTTTTTTCAACACCTTTATAAATTTCTGTCTAATGATAGGATTTTCATATATAAGGACTCAATCTTAATGTTCATGGTTCTAATATTAAGCATGCTAAGTAATTAGTGCCAGTGATATTTTAGGTTACGAAAACAGACACTAAAATGTACTTTCATATTCGAAACGGATTTGGATTTAAAACCCTCAAAATATGGTAGGTACACTGAAAAGAATTGTGAATCAAATTACGGTAAAAAGTACCAGCACTTTGGGTGCATCATTCGGAAAATCCAATTTAACCGCTAAATATTGCACTGTTTTTTTTACAGTAATTTTATTAAATTATAGTGATTCAGTGATATAGTATAAATTGTTAAAATGCAAAATCAAATGTTTCCCGCAATTTACTTAGATAATGTGTGCATTAACAATTTTCGTATTGTTAAAGTTCAGAAATTTGTTTTTTATTTTATCATCTATTTTTTTATTGCCAGCCTTCATCTTTCAAAAGGTTGAATCAAGATTTAATCAAGTTAGCATGTGTTATATACCAGTGAATTGATGTTTAATTTTCGTAGTGGTAGTTACGCCACAAATGTACGACAATATATTAAATGCCTTACTTGTAATAACCCTTTGTATTTCAGTTTTTAAATTGAATAATGATTGATTCTATCAACAAATCTGTTGATTGCGGCAGATTGGCTTTTTTAGAGAATGAAAAATAAAAAAAATAAAAATGTATCAATTTGAAGCGTGCAGAAGCGTTATTTGTTGTTCCAGAAAAAATCCTATTTTTTCTCTAAAGAGTATTTAGTATTGGAATAAGGATTGATTATTTTACCGTCTAAAAATTTAAATTTAATTTATTTTTTTATAATTTTATTAATTAATTTGAAGTTTTAAAAAAATTCGTAATGTTACAAAAATAAGCTTTAAAAACACTTGAACTATTTTAAAAAAGGTTAGCAATAAAAGATTATTTTTAAATATCAAGTTAGTAAAAACATTCTTCAAGCTTTTTTTTTTTTTTTTTTCTTTTACTAAAACAAATTTATTGGATCACACATTAACTAATCTAATTGTAATTTTAAAATTCGAGGGGGACACAAGTAATATCAGAATATATATTATTCATTTCGTGTGGTAATTAATAACATTAAAATTTTGTATTTTTATATCTTCTAAAAAAATCGCACACTTAAATTTATATATTCATTGAATAAACTTCTATTGTTTGAAATGCATACTAATCATAGAAGATTTTAAAATTTAATTTAGGGAAAAATTAAACCAGATTTTAGCTTTTGTTGAGACCAAATTGTGATTTGGGTTTGCTTATACTACTTAATTCAACATTTGTCAAGCTTAAAACGTCCTATTCAAAGATTTTCAGTGAGTTAGAAAGCTGTGAAAATAATATGAATTTGTAATCTGTAAAAATCAAAATAATTAAATAATTTAAAATTAAATACAAATCTTACATTAAAATTAATAATTATAATAGAAAATGAAATTTCAAAATGTAAATGTTATGCAAATGTTATTTATTAAGGCAAGAATTAGGTCAAAAGCATTTTTCTGGTAGTAATTGCGCTTCGCCCAAATATTAAAATTACTTTGTTTTACAAATGTTATACTATTACGCTGATATACAAATGTTACGATAAAAGTATTAATTATACTAGAAAGTAAAATCCAAAAATTAAAAAAAAAAATACTTAAAAGGAATTTAATAAATTTTTTATATTGTTTTAAATTTTATACTTAATAATTTAAGCTGAAAATTATCATATGAGAAATATTCACCAGGGTTTTAAAATTAAAGTACTGTTTAAAATCGAATTAAATCATATCATGAACGAACAATATATTTAATTATAAAAGTACTCACATCCTTATAATAATCTCTAACACCATCAATTTTTTCGTAATTGTGTTTGCGGGGGTCCATGATATAAAACAGGTAACCGGTTCGTTTCAGGGTTTCTCTGATTAGTTCCATCGTTTCGAACAATCAATCCGCTGTGCTCTAAATCTTATTCCAAATGTCTTAACGATTCTTTTAACAGAAAGCAATAAATCCTTAAGTCTCTTTTCAAACAATAGTAGGATGCGGTGCTTATTCATTGCGCATGCTCTTGCTCCTCTTTGCCTCAAACTAACTTTCATTTTTCAGACTTTTTTTTCCACCTTTCTCTTAAATTTTAAGTATAGGTCATTTACACTGGATTTAATCATGTATTAGAAAATGAGAAATGATGTATTTGAATTTGAAAACGATTATAAGACGAAAAAAAATACGTCACATTATGTTAGAAAAGAGACAAAAAAAATTACTGGCTCATCCTTAAAATTGAAATTTTAAAATAAACTCTCAATAATTCTTTCAGAACCATGCAAAAAACATTTAAATTTCAAGTGACAATAATGCAAACATGAGCACAACAATTATTTACAGATACACGACGCATATAGTAGAAAAATAGGGCAAAATAATTTAACTAAATATTTCATCCTTAAGATTGTAAAATTTCAAATAGTATTTATTACTATTTGAAAAAAATAAATTTGCTTTTTTATTTTTTTGTCCTCAACTCGTGTAAAATGTCAACTTGCATCAAAACTTAATATTTAAAAAAAATTCTTACTGTAATTAAAACAAAGAAGTATACTCATTTAAAGTCGCAAAGAAATTCTTAAGGGAGGAAGAGGCAAAAACGCATTTGATGTTCGCCAAATTACATTTTAAAAACAGCGTTTGTACGCATACCACTAGGCATGAACAAGAGATAATGATTAGGATTTGACCGACCCTTCAAAAATTTTCGTTTTGTCCTTTAAAACGTCATAGTTTAAAATGACGTAAAATTGTTAAAAATTGCAATTCGACTCAATAAGCAATGACTAAAGTATTAATAATAATAAAAACAGCATGCAATAATCTTTGGATGAGTTGTAAGTTTATAATGAGTTTTGTAATCGTATGTAAAACTATTTGGAATAGCATAATTAGCTCAAAAGCTAATAGGGAAATACACTACCAGTAAAATTAACATTAACATAATTTAAAGTTTCCAATGCTTTTTTGCGCTAAACTATAAAGACAATACTTTCCAAAGTGCGGTTACCTTTCATATTTTTAGGGTTAAGAATCCAAATCATTTGGAAAATGCCACGAGGAAGTGAAAATAAGGTACAGAGAGAAAGTACGTTTTAGTCGTAACTTAAAATATCAACTATCATCTATCAGTGTATTAAATTTAACTAGGAGGCACCGCCCCCTGCTCGCTGAAGCTCGCCAACCCCCGAGAATTGCTACGCAATCCTATGTGGTTCACGCCGTGAACCATGGCTCGCTGCGCTCGCTCGCCAATGAACACAATGTTCTAGCACAAAGACATAATATATTATCATCAAAGACATAGTATTTTATCATCAAAGACATAGTATTGTACTTATGTAGAAGAATTCTACCAATGTTCTTATTGGCTTTTAAAAAAGTATATTAGCTATTTAGATTGTACATGGTGAAAAAATCAAAACATTAGCTAAATAAGAAACATATTAGCAAAATAAATTATCAAATATTGCTTCACTAATATTCTGCATTTTAAAGCGTGAAAATTCAATGCATAAATAAACGCGAAATATAAAAAAATTCAATGCATTCAATACAAACACTTAAACGTTTTTTAGACGTTTAGGTAGCTCCCAGTAGAAAAATATCAATTCAACAGCGGCCTTTTAAAGCATTCTCACTTCAATTAATTAATTAATTCCTAATTGAGTTTAAATTAAATATTGTCATGTTTTTAGTGCATGAATCTGAATTGAACAACCTGATAATGCTCACTCTGGTTATTGTTATCTGGTTGCTCACTACGTGCTCTTACGCGCCGAATCCAATCAATTAAAAATGAAAACTGTTGCCAGCGCGAGAAAAGAAATATCATCGGTTTTTTGATACATACATACATACGTATGTATTAGCGTTTTATATAATATAGATAGATTATGACGTCGTAAGGCAGTGGCGGTGTGATTGCGTTTATGTAGTTTGTGTTATTAAGGATGTACTGAAACATCGTAGCTTTGTTCAATCCTTGTTTTTTGAATTACTTTGTTTATCTATCGTTAGTAGGACCAGTCGTCAGCATCTAGACGATGTCACAAGAAGGTGGATAGTTTATGACTCAAGGTGGGCCAATTACAGGCTACTTGTTGTAGGAACCTCGGGGTTTCGAGAAATGAGGTCTCCCGCACTGTGGACACAGTTCGCAGAGACATGAATAGTGATTTCCTGACCTGATCAATGCTGTAAAAAAGCAACAACATTGGCTCAAGACCGGAGATTTTTAACCATAAAGAATAGGCGAGAGAGAGCAACACAACTGTCTGACAACCTGTATATTGTAACAGACGTGTCTATTTCACGATACTTAAGCTCAGATACTTAATACAGTTAAACTGTATGCCAGGTTCTCTGTAGTCTGCATTCCTTTGATTGTAAACCACGAAAATCACCAACTAGTATGGTGCTGAGAGTACCTGTCTTGGGCAGATGATGGGTGGTTTGAAGCGAGCTCTCATCAGAGATGAGTTTGAACAGGGAGTTGAGACGTGTTCTGATCTGGAAACAACCCTGAAATCGAAATTTGCTCTCTAACATTGTCGGAAAGGACCACTATGGTCCAGATGGTCTGTGCAGATATCATGGCAGACTGTCATATCAACCTTCATGAAGTCGATAGTGGTACTCCAACAGGTCAACTATACAGAATGAGATAATTGCACCCTTTGTAAAACTTTCCCGTGGATCATATGGATTAAGTTTCCTTTTTACGGATAATAACGTCCGTCCACAAAGGTGTTTTAAACATGTATTTTTAATTGGCACTGACTATTGAAATATCTTGAAAGCGTTTGCGTATATGACAAGTCTGCATTAAGAAGTTTCTTTTTCATAAGGTTATAGGCCTGTTTTCAACATATTTAACCGATGATGAGAGATATTATCAGACAATTCCGGGCTTAGATAGTTCTGTTTCAAGTATAATTAAAGAAAGATGAGAGATTTTATAAACTATTCGTGATTTCATAAACTACTCAGCTTGGTTGAGACGCTTAATGTAAGAATTCTATTTTGAATATAAAATTAGGACATGCATTAGATAATACAAAAAGCAAATATTCGTTCCTAGTGTAATACTTTACACAAATATCAGAGACTACTGTAAAATAACCTTAATGATTTATGTATAAAATATCCCGAAGACACAACGTGTTAAAATTTTATTCATCGCATTATTTTTAATGATTCATTTTGAAATATATTATTTTATGCAATGTTTATAACCTTTTGAAACTTAACATTTTATGTACCATATAAAACATTTTGCAAATTATAAGCTTTTAATGATTATTAAACAATTTTCGGCCATTTCCTAAAATACTTAAATAATATCTTAATAATTTTACCAAGAACAACATTTACAATAATAAGTAAATCACAAAAAATACTATCACTCGTGGTAATTTAAAACACTTTTCAGTTTTAATAATTTGCCAATTCAGACATATCGCATAATTTTGTAACTTAATATTTTATATAACGTAAACAGCATTTTGAAATCTATTTTTTGATATTTATTTTTAAAAAAATTTCTTCTTTTAAAATGATTAAATAATATTCTATAAATAATTACACCCGAATTAAAGAGGACAGAAATTAAAAATTACAAAAAGTGCTATCCTTTAATATAACTTAAGGTAACTTTGGTATGCAGTGATCTCTCTGTTTACAGGTTAATCTAGTATTAAATTACTTATGCTAAAAACAATTGTGATGCCACAATTGGCATTACATATTTATTTTCTATCTTTTAAAATATCTTTCATTACTTAAGCTTTTTTTATTAATAGAATTACATTTAAAATAAATCACAGACTTAATCTTTTAAAAACGAACATGAACATATAATATTTATCCTTCTCTTATAGATCAATGCAACGGATACTTTTTATTTCATTACAAATGCAGACTTATTAATTCACTGTCGCCTCTAATCGAACACAAAAATCTATTAATAACTTTTTAATTTGGCTTTTGGTTAGGCAGGTTGTGGGGGATTTGTCTCCCATGGCCTGTCCTTAAAAATATTATTATGCAAAATTGATTCAACTGAAATTCGTATGGATAATATGTATATTTGGTATCTCGAGCTCTGCAAATATAATAAATAAAAGCTTTTTATTAATTCTGATCCGGTTCAAGTATTCTATTCATCACCCTTCTGTTTTCATCGCAATCTTCAATGTGTCAGTATTCTTCAACTTGGCCCACTATACCATACAAACTCCAACCTCACCTGATATTCCATCATCTCAACATAAAATGGTACCCCCTGAATATTCCTTCTCCATAACAATAAATGAAAACAAATAAATAAAAAGCAAATAAATTAATTAATAAAGCTAAACTGAACTTGAGTTATCCCTAATAATGGAGTAACTAAGTTCAATAATAAAATTTAACTCAAAACAGTGGTACTACGCTAAGAAAAGAAGTTGTATGTCATAAATCAGGGGTGGCCAAGCTCCTTAATAGTCGAGCCATTTTTCAAAATTTGAAATTTTTCGCCTGTCTTCAACAAAATTTAAATATCTAATTGTCACGTCTAATTGTAAATACTACATGTAAAATGGTTTTATTATAAAGTCACGTTTATTAAAGTTGTTTATTTTTTGCGCAATTTACCTTTATTGTATTTTCTGCATGTAAGTATTTTATCTAATAAAAAGTTTGACAAATTTAATCATTTTCCGTCATGAATAAAGTTATAAACTGTTGCTAAGTAAACTTATAGTAATTATTAATTATTATTAAATGATAAATTATTATTAAATGATTAATTATTATTAAATGATTAATTATTATTAAATTATTAATTATTATTAAATTATTAATTATTATTAAATTATTAATTATTATTAAATGATTAATTATTATTAAATGATTAATTATAATTGAATTATTAAATTAGTAATTACTGAATCATCTTTTATTTTAGATTGGTAAATACTTTTACATTTCATTTCTTGTTATGCATAAGATAAAACATAATTATGCACAAATACTTAACTATGATTCAGATGAGAACCCGTATATTTTAATTGTAAACCAAATTGAAAACCGAATTGAAAGTTGCGTGGCAATCCACTCCTCTGAAAAGAGACTTTTATTGTATTAAAATTTTTTATTGCTTTCTTTAAGTTTAGAAAACTGCTAGTTAAAAATGATATTAGTAGATGTCAGCTCTATCTAGTTCTAATAAATATTCATAGCGATGATAAAATAAAGAATAAGAAAAGCCAGGTGCAATCCCAATTTCTCGTTTCTGAATTGTATGTTTTAAGACTAAGAATCTGTATAACATAGCTTTTCTCTTGTCATAGTTTAAGAGGAGTACAGGGTAGTGTGGTTGCTAGGGGTTTATTTCTCAATTATGCCCTAAAAGAAGTGAAATAACTAAAATTGGCAGATGTCACTGTTTAGAAGGTCGAGGATAATACCAGCACTATTTGATAACATATTTTATTCAGCAAAACAACATCAACAATGGTATACAATTAACAAGCAGACAAACATAACATCTTACATCCAGATCTCGTAAGTAAAAGCCAACTAATATAGAAGTATTTGGGGGAGGTTATCCAATAGATGCGCGCATGCGCTAACATTTAAGTTTCAGTTCGTATTTCTAAAAGTTTCACTTCGGATTTTAACTTACCATATTTCCTCCCACCTTGAGTAGAATACCTGTAATTATACTCAACAAACTTCTAATTTTTAGACCTATAAAATTTCGATATAAATGAAAGAAAAACACATCAATAAACAATCATACAAAATACTTAACATAAACAAAGCATAATGAATCATACAGTTTGCAAAATATTACTGAACAGTAGGTTTAACAATTCTTCCACTGCTACTTATTTTCAATGATTTTCCTGTTACATCAACATACTCATTTTCCAGCTCTAATCTAAACAGTCTTTGAACTGGCCTTAAAATTTCTGAATTTTCTGTCTTTACAAGGGCTACTCTTGTGTGACCATCTCTGCCAGGAATTACCTTTAATACCTTAGCTAAATTCCAAAATGTCCGCTTCTTATTAATATCTTCGACTAAAACTATTTCCCCGACTTTTAACGGTTTATCCTTATAATCTCTTAACGATTGTTGGCGTAATTGCCCTAAATATTCAGTCCTAAATCTAGCTCTAAGTAATTCTCTTATTTTTTGGAGATATTTAGCTCGTTTACTTAAATTTTTCTTATCTACCTGATCAATATCTACTACACCTGAGGAAGGTATCTCGTGCAAGAACATTTCGGGAGTTAATGGTGAAATATCGGCCACGTCTTCGGATACGTAAGTGAGGGGCCTCGTATTTATTATTCTTTCACAATCACAAAGGAGAGTGAGTAACTCCTCATAGTTGAGCGTAGCGCGTCCTAATATTTTACGTAAGATTTGTTTCACCATCTGGATTAAGCGCTCCCACCAACCCCCCCACCAACTTGCTGAAGGAGGATTGAACTTAAAGCGTATTTTTTGTTCTGCAACCTTTGAGCTCAATTTATCCCAATCTATTAAACGAAGAGCTTTTTCTGCGCCGACGAAATTTGTTCCATTATCGGAATATATAACTGAGGGTCTGCCTCGTCGCGCAATAAATCGTCTTAAGGACTGAAAATATGCTTCGGTCGTCAAAAGGGTTACTAATTCTAAGTGTACTGCACGATACACTGCACACGTATAAAGAACTATGTATGCTTTTCTTTTATCTTTAAGGTACAGTGGACCTGCTAGGTCAACCCCTATTATCTCAAATACTGCGGCATCATTTACTCGATCACTAGGTAAAATTCCTGGCATAACTTCACATCTTTTAACTTTAAATCTTTGACATTTCACACAATGCTTAATACAATTACGAATAGTCTTTCGACTTTTCAAAATCCAATATTTTTCTCTTAAGTGAGACATCAAAAGAGAAATACCAGCATGTAAATAATCAACATGATAACTTAAAATTAACAATTTTACTACAGGATGATTATTAGGTAAAATAATAGGATGGATGAAATCTGATGTATCATCACGATAATCAAGGTTGGTTTTAGCTCTTATAACACCATTTTGGTCAACAAATGGTCTTAATTGCTTAAGTTTATTATCATTTACATCTTTAAAACCATCCTTTTGAATTAATAACATCAGAGAAATTTCAGCTTTACAAAGTTCATCTACACTTAAAACCTTAGACAAATTTTTATCTTTATGTTTACAGTTATAAAAGAATCTATATATCCATGCTATCATCCTTAAAGTTTTCTTATATGATGAAAAATATTTACAATACCAATATTGATCACTATCATCCGTATTTAAAGCAATTATTACCGTTTTACGTAGCTCTGAATTAACCAATTCTTCATTTGGGTTTTCTTCCGATTTAGGCCAATTTTCTTCCTTATCGTAGAGCCAAATCGGTCCCTCCCACCAACGACGTTGAATTAACTGTTCAGCAGTGCAGCCACGTGATGCAAGATCGGCAGGGTTCGAGCTACCTGGCAAGTGGCGCCACATGGTGAGAGAAGTTTCCGAGCGAATTTCTTTAACGCGATTATATACAAATAATCCCCAATTTAAATTACGCTTAATCCAACTCAGAGCTGTGGTCGAATCAGTCCAACAATAAATTTGAACTTCACTGAGAGCAAGATCTTTAAGTATGGATGACAGCGATCTAGCTCCTATACAACAGGCTAGTAGTTCCAGCCTAGGAATAGTAAGTGGCTTTAGAGGAGCTACTCTGCTTTTAGCATTGACCAAATGAATTTTAACAATATCATTAACAACAATTCTTAAAAATATACAAAATCCGTAAGCTAATTTACTGGCGTCGCAAAATAAGTGTAAGCTAAATACAACATTAGATGGTTCATATTCTAGCCATCTAGGAATCTTAATGTCCTCTAATAAATGTAACTGAGAGAGCCAGAGTTTAAATCTCTTTGCCAAATTATCTGGAATTTCATCATTCCAACTTAATTTTAAATTCCAAGTCTCCTGCAAAATTATCTTAGGTAACAACATAACAGGAGCTGTATATCCAATAATATCAAATACCCTATGAGCCATTGCTAATACAAATCTTTTCGTAATTAATTGTTCAGAATAATCAACAGGTTCAATTTTACAAGATAACGTATCACTTTCCGTATTCCAATTGAGACCTAACACGGACACATCTTTCTTATCAGAATTATTATTCAAATCAGATGCATTGGTCTGCCAATCTCGTAAATTAAAAAGACCCTGTGCCATTATCGCTTGCGATTCCAAAATAAAATTTCGAGTTTCGGTTTCTGAACTTAAACTAGTCACACAATTATCAACGTAAAAGGAATTCTTAAGAATTTCAGCAGTATGACTTAAATGATCTGAAACTCTATTTAAATGATATCGTAACGTAAAGGCTAAACAAAAGGGTGAAGTGGTTAAACCAAACACTAGTCTTTTGTGTTTATACTCTATCAATTTATCCGAATTGTTTTTATCATACCAAAAAAACCTTAAAAAATCGGTGTCTTTCGGGTGAATAGATATCATACAAAAGGCTTTCTCAATATCTGAGGTCACACCGATTTTATTCTTACGAAATTTATTGAGAATCGATGGAATTATTTCGATTAAATTTGGTCCCGTGGCCAAACAATCATTTAATGACGGTTTACCTGCAATTCGAGCACTAGCATTAAATACAGGTCTTATTTTAGTACTTGAATTTTCTTTAACCACTGGCCTATGAGGCAAAAAATGAACATTTTCCAATTTATTATCCGTCACAATTTCAATAATTCCCAGAGATAACCAATTTTCGAAGACCTCACAATAAGCATTAAAATTTCCTGAGTCCATTAATTTCTTTTTGGAATTTTTCGCATTCTTAAGTGCAATATTTTTATTACTGGTTAAAAGCGAACTATCCGTAATCCAAGGTAACGCGATTTCATATCTTCCCATAGAATTGACTTTAATTGTCTCTTCAAAATGTTTAAGAGTTTCTTTTTCTAATTCGCATTTATTCTGACTCATCGTAGGATCGGAGATACCCAATAAATCAAGGCGCCATAAATCTGCGATTTCTCTTTCATTGATAAGCAGAGAAGAAATAAAAAGAGAAGCTTCATTCGTAGTTGTAGGCGTATCGCATAAATAACTGCCTAATAAGCAATTTCCGAGCTTCGTTTCTATACACAACAGGCCTGAACTTAAATTTATTATTTTTCCTGTCAGTATTTTACTCGCAATATCTGCTCCGATTAGTAATTTTATTTCTTTCTCAACAGAGTATCTTTTCCGTTCTAAGTCACTTAAGCGAATATTCAAATTATTTAACTCTCTAATCCATGGCCCATATGGAATTTGTTTAATATCAGAACAAATCTTATTTTGACTTAACACTTGAAATTTATATTTACATTTATGATCAACGCTACTTAATTCTATACAATAACGAATTCTGTTTGCTTGTGCCCTCACTTTCCACAACCAAAAATTTTCATGAGAGTTCTGTTAAGAACTGTAAGTGAACATGAATAATTTTGCTTAGTAATCATTTTATAAAACAACATTTAAAAGTAAAGGTACATAGTTATTACAAATTTGGTAAGTGCACAACCATACTTTAATATTTTTATTTACCAAATAAGCTGATATACTAAATACAATTTGCGTATGCATGACATTGTACATGAAGCTGATTGGATATCTTAGTCATTTAATGAATCTTTTTATAATAGTATATCAATCTAATTTAATCCAAGAAAATAATAATTGTAAAACGGCTAGTAGTAAGTTTTAGACAGTTTACATAAGTTTGTTTCGAAATGTTGCGTAATAAGGTAATATTACAGAACTAGATAATGATAAAGAAAGAACTCTTCCAGTTTCAAGCTAGAAAGCAATCAAAATCATACATGTAATAATACAAGAGTAGAATAAGAAAAATGAATATTATAGGTCAATGCCTTCAAATCAGAGATACTGAAATATTTTATAGGAAAACGATACCTTCATGACCCTTATTAATTTTATCCTGGTGACAAAATTGTACGGAAATTATATGGATATTAATGTGGAAAAACTGGATTCTACCATATGATTTTCTGGTTAATAAAAATGCATCGACACTTGTGTTAGACTTTTCTTTTTTTTGTATTATATACCAATAATAAACAAATAATATTTAAATTAACGTTCTAGCAATAAAATTCTTTGGAAAAAAAAAGTATATATAATTTTTGTCAAAATGGAATTTGTTAAAAATATTTGAAAATATCGCTTCCTGCATTTCCCCCAGCTTACATATCTAAAACATGTTTTTGTACTAATATAGTTGATCAAACATTTTTGAAACATGAAGCTTTTATTTAACTTCATTTTATTTCTATTTAAACTGTGAACTGTGTAGGACTTGAAATGTAAATTGGTTTTAGTAAGAAAATAAGCGAAAAATAAGCCAATTTTTAAACTAAATAAAATTAGAAATTTATTTGATTAATAATTATGTAAATAATATTATATAAGTTTGCATATAATGGCATAAAATCAATTGAAAACAAATGTGCAATACAAATGCCTAAAATACAAATGTATGAAATACAAAAATTAATAAAGGATCGTTGATGAATTCGTTGAATCTTAATGTTTCTAGAAAGTTTTTGCAAAAAATTAGCATTTTCCTGGTTTTACATATTTCAACATGAAAAAGGCTTATCATAATTAAAAGTTTATTTTTTAAATTTCGCTTTTTAAATAACTATTTTCTACTTTAACTAAACTTAGCTCAATTATATCATTTTTACTTCATCACTAAGAGCTTTGAAATAAGAATATCTGTATAAATTCTAGAGATATGTTGGACTGTAAAGTTAATATCTTTAACTTTATCAAGCGTTTGTTTTTACTCAAAAGATTAATGTCTGTTTGGTGCATGCTGTGTAATTGATAAAGCAATAAAAATACAGGAAGTACACCATTTATTCTTAGAAATATATTTGTTCATTATAATTTCTCAATAATAAAATAATTTTTTCATTCAATTATTATTTTTTTGAAGAAAACAAATTGTCTTTAATACATACAAAAATAAAACAAATTGTCTCTTTAATAAAACAAATGTACAACTTATCTCTGAGACAATATTCATTTCTTTGAAAAGAATAAAAAATTTACAAAATTACGATTCATTGACAGAGTTATCAAAGATTTCAGGAACTACACATACATTTTTGAAAATATTCATTCATTATAAATTCAAAAAAGTTTTGACACTAAATTAGGAATTAAACAAACATTTCCTTATTTATATTTCATAAACAAATGAATTCAACAACAACTAAAAGGTTAGAAGACGTATAGTTACAAAAGGAAAAAAAAGTCAAACATATATAGAGGAGAAACATATTCGTTATTTATGTAATGACAATCTGTTGCAATAATATATAAAAAAAATGTATTTTACATCAAAAATAATCTAAAAGTTATTTAGTTGATGTAAAATATTAATACGGATAGTTTTCCTCATCTCCCTTTCAAGAGTTACAGGTCGAATACAATACATAATACATTAATTTCATAAACGGCATTAGTAAATCTCCATAGCACTGGAACATTCTACAATGGTAAATAAAGTCAATAATAAAAGGGAGTAAAATAAAATAAATAACTGCACAGATTAGATAACTGCACAGATAACAGTTCAGATTGGAAAAAAGTTCTTTTTCTTACACAATGATATATAATTCTTTGTGAATATTTAAACAAAATTCACTGTTATCATCATTTTTAGGGAGGATAAAAAAATTATTTTATTTTTAAATATTTACAAAAGACAGTTTCTATTTCAACAATGGTATCTAACTTTTTTTTGTTGACTATTTTAAAAAACCTTATTTAAATCTATTGTTGTCATGATTTTTATAGGAATGGAAATTAGTTAATTATTTACGTGTGACAGCTTCTTTCTTAAAAATATATATTTAATTTTCTTCTAAATATTTAATAAAAGCCTATTTAATTCTGTTATTATCATAACTTTTATAGGAGTGAGAATAAAAGTATTTTATGTTCAATTATTTACATGTGACAATTTCTTCATCAACAATGATGCCTATTTTTTGGAAATATTTAAAGAAATCTCCTTAATTCAATTATTATGATGACTTTTTTATTGGAATAACAACAAAAACATTTTATGTTTAATTATTTACATGCCACAGCTTCTTTTTCCTATAATTCAGTATTGTTTTGATGAATAAAATAATGACATAAAAACGATGAAATAAAAAGTAAGTCAAAAATTTGTTTCAAATTTTGAAAAAAATAATTTTTCCTTTTAGAGTTATTGAAATTTTCTCTGCTGATAATTTGTTTACAAATATCAATTCTAAATTCAAGCGTTTTGGGATAAAATAATAAAAAAAGATTTAAACTATTTAATTATTTCAAGATTTAGAGAAAAAAATAGTGGACATGACAGAGAATATGGATCATTTCAAAAATATCTAACATCTTACTAATAAATAAAAAAGATTTATATCATGAAGAATGTTAATTGTTTTGAGACTTAATCGAAATAAAAAAAAATTCTAAATTGCTTTTAGGCATCACTTTGTTTAACAATTATAAGATGCAAAGAATTTTGGGCAACTTTTTTATCTTTTCTTTTGAAATTAAAAACATTATTAATTCGACAATAATAGTTTTCCTCCGATGGATGAATTGCTATGTTCTTCAATTGAAACATGCATTTTTTCTTAACCGATGCTCATTTGCTTTCTACGTTTTATTTATTTTTTAATTACGAAAATACATGTTACAAATTTCGATTATTTCATGTAATTTTCAACAATATAAACAACATTATGCTTTCGAGATACACTAGTAATTGACACATCGAATAGGAGAAAAACTGATTTGAAACTGAGAATAATAATCTAAATGCTTTATGCTAATAAATAATAATAATAATTTGTTACACTTAACTATAGATGCAGATAAAATATTAAATATTTCAATTTCAAATATAATTTAAATAGAAATGGTAACATATTTAGCAAGTCGATGAACTTTTAAATACCACTAAAAACAGAATAAATGAATTTTTTAAGTAAAACATTTATAAAGGGTTATCTATTTAATTCGGCTATCTTTCGAAGGTTTTGTCATAAAATGAAATGATAGAGATAGATTAAAATTCAGTTAGTCAGCAAAATGACATAGATAGTTTAAAATTATATATCTTTTCTTCAAGTCCACACTCAAACTGTAGCTTTTTTTTATCTTCCTCGGCGAAAGAGCTTCCATAAACCACGTTAAGAACTCTTTTCCAATCTCCTAAATTGCATAGTCATGCTCTTCGAAAGTATCAGATTATCCCTTTTGTTACATAATATTTTTAGTTGTAGCTTTTAAAATCCATCAAATTTTAACTTGTCACGAATTCTTTTCTTTGTTTATTTTACGCAAGCTACGAACCAAGTACCAACTAGCCCACATTGCTAACGTTGCTGAAAACCATGCTCTACTGAGATACAAAAATAGCATGGCCAATCTATAATTTCTGATTTCCGGGTATATTATCCTATCTACTAGAAAATAAATGACGCATCTCAGGAACTCAAAAGGTGGTCCATACCGACTGTAAAAAAAGAAATATAATGTAAAAGGAACAGTTATGAATAAAAGAAATAACTTAATGTAGTAAAATGCGTAGAATTTAGTAATTTATATTGTAAATAAAAGGTGTCATAATATAGGAAAAAGTAAAGTTATTAAAGGAAGTAAAGAGTATTGCCCAAAAGTTATCACAATAATATTCATACATGCATAAGCATCAACAAGTGTTATTAACATTTATTTCACATTGCTTAAATTATGTAATAAAATTTATTTCACCTCTGAAAAGACAAAAATATGTAAAAAATTCCACAGGTTTTCATCTTAAATTACAAGAAAAAACTGCTTTACAATTCACCAGATTACGTCTAAAATATAAATTTTTTAAAATAAAACTTTTATGTAGATCAGATTTAAGCGCTAATTTACAGTAATGACGGAAAAGAAAATTCACTTAATTAGATGTTATTCAATTAATTGGAAGTCTATTAAATACTGATAAAATGGCTATATAAATGTACTTTCAAAAACTGTAGAGAAATAATTAAAAATTTCATACGGTATCTATTTTTAAGGATAATTTTTGCTTTTTTTAAACTTATAAAACTAATGCAATGAACTAATATCATTGCACACATCAGCCAACCACATATCTCCAAACACCTAGGCCAATTTTTTAGGGCTCTATTTGTTTAGTTACCATGACAGAAATATCGCGTAATTTTGTCCTCTGTCAGATGATGTGTGCAGAACTGGCACCACTCTTTCCAAACTCCCTTACTAGAGCCGCGATGGCTCAGGGGATAGAGCGTTTGCCTTTCAATGAGGTGAACTGGGTTCGAATCCTCGCGATTGCTGGTAGATACGAATCCGCATCCGGCTTGCACCAACTTGATCCAAGAGTAGCCTTGTCTTCGGGATTGGTTCAAAATTAGAAGGCAAGGGAGTTGAACATTAGTAGTCGTAAGCCTAAAAATTGGGTTGGCTGTTCAACTCGGTTTTAAAATAAACTCAAATGAAACTCTCCTACTACAATCAACGAGAGGACTTCCAGAGTCGACAAAATAAATGCACACCTTGTTACGTATGCACGTCGCTTGTTTAGTCGGCAGCGAGGTTCGAACTCACGACCCTCAACTCTTAACATCATTTGAATGAAAAGAACAGTATATTATAAGAAATTGTTTCCCTCATGAAAAATTTTTGACAAGCTTTCTAAATAATTGCAAAGAAGATTTGTTCGTGCAATTAGGTGTACAGTGACAATACCAATTAAGTGTATAGTGACAATACCAATTAGGTGTGTAGTGACAGTGCCAGATGTATAGTGACAATACATAGCATGCAAATACGTATAGTATTCAGATATATAATACGCAAAAGCAGTAAAAATGTGTGTTTTATATGGTTTTATAAGGATTTCAATCCAGAAAATTTGACACCTCACTTCATCACAAAGGAGCAGAAAAATAGCAAAGAAACAATTCAACAATTTAGGTAAAGTGAACAAAGAAGAACAATAAACATTTAAATCAATAAACATTTCAACAATATAAAATTTTAAACATTAACATGAAAAAGGTAAAGTTAGTGACAATTCATGAGAGTTCTTGCGTCCCAATACAATTTAGTGACATTCTCACTTTTCTGGGAGTTCCTGTCTAGTCCCTTGCACAACAAGAAGTCATCAGAGTTTAATACATCTGTGTCACAAATTGGGCATGCTTTGCTTTTACTGGGAAGTATTCTTATGTTACATAAATGATCTGATAAGCAATCGTGCCCTGTTTCAAGTCTAAAATGGGTTACCGCTTCTTTGCAGTAAAAATGTTTATTCAGAGAAAGTACATTTTGATAGTAAACTTCGTAACTTCGTAATCGTAGTTAAATAACATACCTTTCTTAAAGTTTTTTTGTGCATTTTATAATTTATGTATTACGAAATAAAGCAAATTATAATAATAGCATTTTTTAAATAAAACAAAATTAATAAGAAAGAAAATTAAAATACTTGCCTCTTATCAAGCACAAATCCTAATGATATACTCGTATAGCATATAAAACATGCAATTGGATTAATAATTGATTTTGGTAAGATCTAAGGGAAAAAATTTTGCAATTAGTCTCACTAACAAGAAGATGTATCTTTAAAACTAGATTTTTCAGGAACTGATCGAAATCTACTGATCAGTTCCTGAAATATCTAGTCTAGTCTGATCAGTCAATTTCGCCGACAAAACTGCGACGAAATCGACTGATTTCGCCGCAATTTTGTTTTTTGCCTTGTAAAAGTACGTTCTTTAAAATGATGTAAAAAATCGTATGTCCATTCGGAGAAAATACGTTTTTATGCCTGATATTTTTAATTAAAAATATCGTCTATACTAATTAATTAGCATATTTGAGATCACTCCCTCAAGCCTTTAAGATTGTATCCTAGAAAGTAAAGACCCGATCATTAGACCAAAAGTTATTCAGGGTAGTTCGTTTTTCTTTTGCGCACTTTAATAATTAATAATAGTAATTCTTTTGAAAAATATTGTTATATCTTAAAATGTCTGAATGATCGTGTGATCTGGTTGATTCGTCTTGTGAGATTTTTGATTGTGATCACATTTTACGACTAAATTTAAAATTTTTGCTAAAATTTAATTTCCGTAAAATGTATGGGATATCCCTCATTGAAAATTTTACAAATCGCATCTCACTCTTAAAAAATATTGCAACATAAATAATATGTTATTTACCATAAAAAGATTGTTTTAACGGAATATTACAATATGTTCCAGGTTTAAAGTTAAAGGTTGCTTTCATATATTTCGAACTTATCTTTGAGATGTAAACAGTTATATATCAATATTTAATAACTTAAAACACTATCTTTAAAAACAGATATTTGTTAAAATATTTGATGGTTTACAGATTTCCTACATTATGCGAAATATTATTATTTTCATATACTTATATAGTCACAATTAGTTTAGGTATTTAATATTTGTAATGTTTACGCTTTTAGAAGTTCGTAATATTACAATAAAAATAATACATATCAGAGAATTATTGCCAACATTATGCAAAATGTTAGTATTTTCATATACTTGTGTAATCACAATTCGTTTAGATATTTAATATTTGTAATGTTTACTCATTTAAAAGTTCGTAATATTACAATAAAAATAATACATACCAGAGAATTATTGCCTACATTATGTAAAATGTTATTATTTTCATATACTTATACAGTCAAGCCTCGATATCTCGAACTTGAAGGGAGAGGAGAAAAAATTCGAGATACCGAAAATTCGAATTATCGAAAATCGCATGTTATTGATGGTAGAATAAAGAAAAATGCTCTTTACATACCTTATTCACTATTCCATATGTATTCTAAAAACTTTTTTTACACTTTCATTTAAAAAAAGATTTAATTGTTGTTTGCTTTAGAGATGTGTAAGGAAGTTTGTCTGTAACACTTTCTAAGTGGACTATAGCTTTAAATGTCTCCTCTGACATATTTGGCTGCCTCTCAAATAAATTTCCTTACAGTGTCCACTGCAGAAAGTGCTTGTTTGTTAGTAACATTGGGTGGTAAATATTCGATTTCCTCATCCTCTTCTTCTGATAGTTCACAAGAAGCTTTCGTTTGAGCGATGATATCATGGTCATGCCACTGACCACACACTGTTACTGCATCATCTCCGTTTACAAAGTTATGAAATTCCAAGTCATCAAGTTTCATGAGTCCGGTCAATCTGTCCCAATCATTTTCGGTGTAGTTTTCAGCATAAATTAACGATATTGATTGTTTGACTACTTTCGTGATCTTTAATGAATACAGCCTTCTTGAAGCCATTCATTATCGTAGAGAGAGACACATCATTCCATGCCACTGCCACTGTCCATTTTTTTAAAAAAGTTTATCATTATGAGAATTGGTTTTCTACTCTTAATTTTTTTTTTTGAATATTTTTTTTATTTTCAGAAAAAAAATCTACACTATTTATGGAGAAAAAAATTCAAGTTATCGAAGGATTAGAAAAAAAATCGTGAAATCAAGTGTATAGGAAATTTGAAGAGAATTTTTTCTTCCTCGAGGTATCGAAAAATTCGTGAAATAGAGGTTCGACTATATAATCACAATTCGTTTAGATATTTAATATTTGTAATGTTTACTCTTTCAAAAGTTTGCAATATTGCAATAAAAATAATACATGCCAGAGAATTATTGTCTACATTATGTAAAATGTTATTACAATTCGTTTAGGTATTTAATATTTGTAATGTTTACTCTTTCAAAAGTTTGCAATATTGCAATAAAAATAATACATACCAAGAGAAAATAATACATACCAGAGACTTTCTAGAATATATTTTTTGCATACTTACTGTCATGTTCCAAGTAAGTAGTTGATAGGTAATGATCAAAATAAGAAAATGTGCCATGGAGTATAATTTCCTGAATATTGACATATTTGGATTATACAATTCAAAATGAGGAGCTGGCTGCAATAAGAACAAAATTTTGCGAATATTATTAAAAAGAATCTGAATCAACACTGAAAAATTAATTTTAGTATCATCATGGCTTAAAATAAATTCCATATGCCTCTTTTTTTTAGATATGCATCAGTTTCTAATTCACCTGTTTTTCTTAGACAAATAACTATCATACAGTTATACAAATAACTATCATAAAATTAAATGCCTGGCATAAATGATAGCTCGGGTTAATACAATATTAGAATTAATATCTCACCATATTTAAAAGTGATATTAAATGTTAAAAACAATATCTATTAAACTTACAGTAATTTTAAGCAATATTATAGCTTAGAATTAATGAGTATTTTTAACAGTGTGAGAATTGCTTTTTATTTGTAACAAATGAATTCTCAAAATGTATCATTAGAAGCATACATGCGGTACATCTTCTATGTTTCCGGTCCACGGAGACCCTGGTGTCCAACCTGGTCCTTTGAATACAGCGGATAATTTATCACTCCATTTTTCATACTCACAAAATCTCTTCCATATCCGTATAAAATGTTGTGTCTGAAAATAGAGAATTAAAACTATTAAATTCAATTGAAAAATAACTAAATTAAAATTGAATTAGAAGAAACAAAAGCAATATCAATTTCCAAAAGTGAAAGAGAATGGTATCAAGGCAAAGAATTAAGTTTATTGTGTCCAGTTTATAATATTTTCTATAGTGTCCACTTTAATCTATGAGCTTTTGTCCAGCAGTGTTAAAGTGTCATCCTAGGGTAAATGATACTTTAGATCTGGGTCTTTATTCTGTGCGCATGGTAATCTGAAAATTGAACTTACTTAAATAGTGTTATTCATCGAGTGAAAGCTTAGGGTCGTAAGTTCGAATCATCCAGTTGACTAAGTCGGTGAGTATAGGCTGCAAGGTGCACGTTAAAAATATTGTGGCTAAAAGTCATCGCTTTGGCTGTGATAAGATAGTTTGGAGGGAGGGGTACCAGCTAAGGTGTGGTTCACATCATCTGCTGAGGGTCAAATTTACTTGGCATTTCTATCTTGGCCATTAGAAGACAGAGCTCCGAAAAATGGGTCTAGGGACTTGACATGATTGAGTGAGGTGATGATCAAATACATCCTGTAAGAATAATCAATCTTAATTGTGATTGGTACTTTCAGCAGAGTAATCCGTTTCACCGTATAGTTTTGTAAAGGATTGGCTTTCGAAGCATGGTACACTGTTAGAGTATTCATTCTGAAATTACTTTAAACTAATAGGCAGAAGTCTGTTCCTTCGATTAATCATAAAGCTTAAGGTTAGAATTTTTTTTTTTACTTTTACGGTTTTGAAACCGTTTAAAACTGTTACGGTTTTAAAAAACGTGAATGCTAAACTATACGGTTTTGTAAGCATTTACAACTAGCATAGTTATTAAGCCATAGAAATAAAACTTAGTGGACATTGGAGCTTCGTGGTTGTTGCGCCATTCATTCGTGAATGACAATTTCGCATTCTAGTAGTCTTGAAACCCCGATTGAAAAGTGAAGGACACTGGAAACTTTTCATGTATTGAAGGAATGGAAGAAATTTCATGGTGTTAACGCTGGAATTCGAAACCCTCCTAGGGTGGTCATGAGATTAACAGATTATCCCTCTCAGTCACAATATATATCTAGCTGTGTGGAACAAAATGACAATGGAACAAGATAGACCTAGTTGACGCGGTTACAATTCTGATTGTTAAGCCGTATTAGATTTTTAAAAAAACAATCAATAAACCTTTTTTTTTCATGTCTAACAGTTTGAATATCAACTTTTTTATGGTAGTTTGACTGTTTTGGTTAACAATTAAACAAATTGTTATCTTACCATATTCAATATTCAAAATGTTTATTTCATAAAACTAATTAGATTATTTCGAAATTAAACTTTTTGATGCGTTAAGTCAAATCAGCATCGTGGATAATATAATTATTTTAGAATTATTCAAGTAACAAATTATGTCTAGTTTAATAATTTTATTAAAACTATACTTTTCCAACAAGCACATATGGAAAAACTAATATTCAAACAAACAAAAACGAAAAATGTATACATGCCTGTATAATCAACGGATTAAATGATTTTGTTTGTGTAGTGCAACCATACAGTGGTTTTTCTTCAAGATCTTCTGCTTCAAAAGTTCCAAATATGCGATCCCATATGATAAGAAATCCGCCAAAGTTTTTATCTATATAACGTCTGTTACGACCTAAAAAAAATTCCCTTTTTTATTCCCATTCATATATTTTATGCATTTCTATATAGATATTGACTTTTTTTGCATAAAAATAGGTGGCTCTGCTCCTTGTGGTTGCTTCTCATTCATTATTGAAGATCAAAAGGGTCAACATCTTATGTACATTTTTTTTTAAGAAAATGACTATTGGATTGTAATCAGTTGCATTTTAAGAATGACTAAATTTTTGAAAATCATTAACATGGAATATCGGTACCCGTAGAGAGTTATTACACAGTGAAGATGGGGCCTTGATGTGAATAAACAGTTCCTGTCCGTGAGCAAATAATTTTTTTTTCTCAGAATCAACTTCGAGGGCCATAAACCATTTTCCCCCTATTGATCTCATAAAAGTCTTTTTTCTTAAATATCAATGAAGAAGATTATTTTGTTTAGAAAATATATTATTATTAAAATTTTTATGTAAGCACATTTTACTAAAGTGCTAATCGTAACGAAATGAAAAGATAGCAGGGTCTGAAAAATAATCAAACGTACTTGAAGGAAATTAAACTTAAGAATAAAGGTAATAACCATATCGACGACGCAATAAGCAGTAATAAATTACTTGTTAACAATGCACCTAAGAGCCATTAGATTATGACCACCCTCCATCTATAACAATGGGCTCGCCCAGGTATTCATGGTTTCTCGCCCAGGAACAATGCTTTTATGGGGCACATTAGGACCCATAATCCTCATAGAACAATCCTTGACGTCTGTAAGCTACTTGAACATAGTTGCAGACCAAGTTCCCCCATTCATGGCAACAGTTTTTCCTGCGGGGGATGGTGTTTACCAACAGGATAATGCACCATGTCATAAAGGTGGAATCGTCATGGATTGGTTTGAGGAACATTCCAGTGACTTTCAAGTCATGTCTTGGACCCCAAATTCACCTG